GCAGTTGTTATCAAAGGTACTCAGTTGTATAACCCCCAAGAGGGTAAATTTATTGACCTGAGCATTCTCGATGTCATGCAAATATTTGGTCGTGCAGGTCGTCCGCAGTTCCAGGACACCGGTATCGGATTTATCTGTACTACTCATGACAAGTTGAGCCACTACCTATCTGCTGTTACTGCGCAGCAGCCCATCGAGTCACGCTTCTCTAGTCGACTTGTAGATAACTTGAATGCTGAAATCTCTCTTGGAACAGTCACATCTGTTCCAGAGGCTGTGCAATGGCTTGGCTACTCCTACCTCTATGTGCGCATGAAACGTGAGCCGAGAAACTATGGAATCGAGTTCGCCGAGTTACGCGATGACCCAATGCTGGTCCAAAGGAGGAGGCAGTTGATCTTACAAGCAGCACGGGTGCTACAAAAGAGTCAGATGATCATCTTCAACGACAAGACCGAGGATCTTAAAGCCAAGGATGTTGGTCGTATTGCGAGTCAATACTATGTCTTGCAAACCAGTGTCGAGATTTTCAACGACATGATGCGTCCCCGAGCTGGTGAGGCTGATGTACTCAAGATGATTAGCATGAGTGGAGAATTCGACAATATCCAATCTAGAGACAGCGAGTCGAAAGAACTCCAGCGACTGCGCGAGGAAGTTGCGCAGACTGAAGTTGCCGGAGGAAATGATACGCCACACGCGAAAACCAACCTCTTGCTGCAAGCTTACATCTCTCGCGCCAAGATTGAGGACTTTGCTTTAGCCTCCGATACTGGATATGTTGCCCAAAATGCGGCGCGTATTTGCCGTGCTCTCTTTATGATTGCATTGAATCGTCGCTGGGGCTATCAATGCCAAGTTTTGTTGTCTCTTTGCAAGTCCATTGAGAAACAGATTTGGCCCTTTGATCACCCTTTTCGTCAGTTTGACTTGCCCCAGCCGATCCTACGTAACCTTGACGAAAAGCTTCCAACTACTTCCATCGAGTCGATGAAGGAAATGGAGCCTGCGGAGATTGGCCAGCTTGTTCATAACCACCGCATGGGCAACACATTGTCCAAACTTCTGGACAATTTCCCGACTTTGAGTGTTGAGACTGAGATTGCGCCACTTAACCGCGATGTTCTTCGCATTCGCCTTTCCATCTACCCAGAGTTTACCTGGAATGATCGCCACCACGGAGCATCTGAATCCTTCTGGGTCTGGGTTGAGAACTCGGAAACCTCAGAAATCTATCACCACGAGTACTTCATCCTAAGCCGGAAGAAGCTTTACGCTGATCATGAACTCAACTTCACTATTCCACTTTCTGATCCGCTTCCCAGCCAAATCTACATTCGTGTGATCTCTGATCGCTGGCTGGGTGCTGAAACCGTCAGCCCGGTTTCTTTTCAGCACCTCATTCGCCCGGACACTGAAAGTGTGTATACCGATCTACTCAATCTCCAGCCACTTCCTATATCGGCTCTAAAGAATCCAGTTCTTGAGGAAGTGTATGGGCAACGCTTCCAATTCTTCAACCCTATGCAAACACAGATATTCCATCTCCTTTACCACACACCAGCCAACGTTCTCCTCGGTTCTCCGACTGGTAGTGGAAAGACTGTTGCAGCTGAGCTGGCAATGTGGTGGGCTTTCCGTGAGAAGCCCGGCTCCAAGGTTGTCTACATTGCACCAATGAAGGCATTGGTCCGTGAGAGAGTTCAAGATTGGCGCAAGCGTCTCACTAGGCAGATGGGTTTGAAGCTTGTTGAGTTGACCGGTGACAATACACCTGACACACGTACAATTCGTGATGCCGATATAATTATTACCACACCTGAGAAATGGGATGGTATCTCACGTAGTTGGCAGACCCGTGACTACGTCAGGAAGGTGAGCCTGGTGATTATTGACGAGATCCACTTGCTTGGTGGCGATCGAGGTCCCATTCTGGAAATCATCGTTTCCCGAATGAACTATATCGCTTCCCAGTCCAAAGGATCAGTTCGATTGATGGGCATGTCCACTGCATGTGCCAATGCTTCTGATCTAGCTAACTGGCTTGGTGTCAAAGAAGGTCTGTATAATTTCCGTCATTCAGTTCGCCCGGTTCCACTAGAGATTTTCATCGATGGGTTCCCTGAACAGCGTGGCTTTTGCCCCTTGATGCAGTCCATGAATCGCCCAACTTTCCTCGCGATCAAGAACCACTCACCAGAGAAGCCAGTCATTGTTTTCGTTGCGTCTCGCCGACAAACTCGTCTGACTGCTAAAGATTTGATCAACTACTGCGGTATGGAGGATAATCCTCGTCGATTTGTGCGAATGTCTGAAGATGATCTTGAGTTGAACCTGGCGCGAGTGAAAGATGACGCCTTAAGAGAAGCCCTCAACTTCGGCATTGGTCTGCATCATGCCGGTTTGGTTGAATCTGATCGTCAGCTGGCTGAAGAACTCTTTGCCAACAACAAGATCCAGGTTCTTGTTGCGACTAGTACCCTTGCGTGGGGTGTCAACCTTCCGGCACATCTTGTGGTGGTCAAAGGCACTCAGTTCTTCGACGCTAAGATCGAAGGCTATCGGGACATGGACTTGACGGATGTTTTGCAAATGCTCGGTCGTGCTGGTCGCCCGCAGTTCGACACATCCGGTATTGCGCGCATCTTCACCCAGGACTCAAAGAAGGCATTTTACAAGCATTTCCTCCACACAGGTTTCCCCGTTGAGTCGACCCTGCATAAAGTTCTCGACAACCATCTCGGCGCCGAGGTATCTGCTGGAACTATTGGAACGCAACAAGATGCACTGGACTACTTGACCTGGACATTCTTCTTCCGTCGATTGCATAAGAACCCCTCATACTACGGTCTAGAGATTTCTGCAGAGGAACAAAACACTATGGCAGCCCAGGCCACAGCTCAAGATTTTATGGTTGAACTGGTTGCGAAGTCGCTCAATGATCTCGCAGAATCGTCCTGTGTTCTCGTGGACTCGGCCACCGGAGAGGTCGACTCTACTCCCTTCGGCAAGATCATGAGTTACTACTACCTATCGCACAAGACGATACGGTACCTCGTGTCACATGCCAAGCGTGATCCGACTTTCCAAGATGTCTTGAGCTGGATGTGTTCCGCAACCGAATTCGACGAGCTGCCTGTCAGACACAATGAAGACTTGATAAATGCTGAGTTGGCCCAAAATCTGCCGCTGTCTATTGACTGCATGGGCGATGCGCCACTCTGGGACCCACATACGAAGGCGTTCCTTCTCCTGCAGGCCTACATGTCCCGGATCGATCTCCCCATCACTGATTATGTTGGTGATCAGACATCTGTGCTTGATCAAGGAATACGTGTTATCCAGGCCTCAATCGATGTTATGGCTGAGCTCGGGTATCTTCCTGCGTGTCAGATGCTCATGACTCTCCTCCAATGCATCAAGTCAGCGCGCTGGCCTGAAGATCACCCGTTGTCGATTCTGCCAGGCGTTCCGACCGAGAAGCCACCCAGTGGTCTTCCAGGTACACTCGTGTCGCTCTCGTCACAGCCTACTGGTGCAATTGCTGCTCTAGTCAAGAAATTCAACCTTCCATCTAACTTTACTCGCATTACGTCCCAGCTGCCTCAGCTGTCGGTGTCGGTTGCAAGTGTTTCTGCTAGGGGCATTTCTGTGTCCATGACACGGCGAAATCAGCCCACAACCCCTGAATGCAAGGTTCACGCCCCTAGATTCCCCAAGCCACAAACCGAGGGCTTCTTTTTGATAGTTTGCAGTGCTCTGCCCAATGGCATGGATGGTGAATTGGTTGGCCTGAAGCGTGTGTCTTGGCCACCAGTATCTAATGGCAAGGGCAAGGGCAAGGGCAATTCCGGTGCCGGCTCCAGTCGTGGAGTACCTGCCAACGATTATAAGGCCAACCTGTTGACGGTTCGCTCCAACGTTAAGTTCCCAGAGGGCATCCTCGCGGAATCCACGAGTACCACCACAGCTCGGGTGAACATCAGAGTCATTAGCGACTCGTACGTTGGTATGGAATGGACTGTCTCCAATGTGGAGGTGAATTTAGATACTGGCATCGAGACGCAGACTGTGGAAGACCCCGGTATTCCTACGAAGGACTAGAAGCATGTGCTCGAACTAGATTTGACCGATAACGTTGCATAAATACATAAATGCATGTCTCCGCAGTCATCACCAAGAAATGAAAACCACTTCTTTAGCGCTTCAACCCTCTCTTTCTTGGGTTCTAAATAACTTGTTGATCCCAGTTTTACCACCCTTGCTCAACTTGACGATAATGTTAACCACCAACATCTCCCAGCAACAAAAACATCATCCTTCTTCCACAATTCCTCTCCCTCCAGCAAATTCGATCCCGCCGTCTACCATTTTTCATTGACTTGACCAAAACGAATTTGCACATTTTCCAAAGCCTCCCCAACTGGTGAATCGATTCGTCACTTCAAAATCATTCTCGAAAACCCACATTTCTGCAGATGAACCAAGGGAATTACACTATACATTGGCATTTTTATACCATCTGCTCTTTGTGCGTCTGCTTCGGCATATTGTTATAGTTCATCGCACTTGCTGCGAGCCCACGTTCTTCGGTACCTGTCCCGAGATCACCGTATTAGCCCGTCTCTGCCGAATGCCGCGTCCAGATGATACTCTACACCCTTACGGATACGGACGATGTTGACAACATGTGCCCTGATTTTGCGATTTAGTCGTCTTCTGTTTGTGGTCACTGATTTTGTAACCTTAGGTGGACACGCTTACCATCCCCTGAATTCCCCTTGCGGTATACCGTCTGTCCGATCCCAGCTCCAGCCACCTGTCAGGTGCACAGAGAATCGAATGCCGCACAGAATGTAGTGGAAGAAAATGCCCATTTTCAAACAGTAGCCCCCTCGACAGGAGCGGGGTGTCTCGTCGCTCCCGATGACTTTGGTATGGATCTTGTCGGTTTCAATCTCCGCTAGGTGGGTAGCCGAATAGTATCATGTCCGGTTGTCCTAAGGGAATTGAGTGATCTGGCACCGGAAGAGATCTTTCAACGCTTCTTTGGCTTTGGGGAAGATTCTGGCTCGTCGGTGTATTTTGCATATTGACATTGTAGAGCAGTGAAGTGCACATACTGGGTCAAATGCGCTGGCGTATAGATGGGGCCAGTTTTGGGGTGTCCACTTTGACGGTCGTCCGGGAATTGATATCGGTTTTTTCTGTTTCAATAGAACGGTAAGACGGTGTACTTCAGGTCAAATTTGAGACATATCAAGGAGACATGGGTAATGCCAATTTAGACAAAGAGGTGACGGTTTGGCATCAAGTTGATTAAACTCGTTATTTAGAGCTGTGACTGAGTGAGACTTCATACCAGTTGACCGAGATGCTCTTTTTATCTGCAAGAACGACAATAAGTGCATGTGAGATGCCGTGATCTAAAAGTTGAATCGTGACCATAAACGATACGAGCCATCCAAGGCATAAATTAAGATGTTATAGAAGAATAAGGTCCATTTGTAGAGAAAGAAAGATCCGTATGGAGCAAGAACACGAGAGGTGGTCAAGGGGAATCAGGCATGAAAGAAAAAGGCTAAGAAGAAATAACGAAAGAAAAATAAACCCGAAAGAGAACGGTGCAGCAAAACATCACAGAGACTCTATCCGCAACTCCTGCGAGATGCCAGGCCGATGCCCGAGATGAACATCTGTAATTTTTGGTGTCATAGGTCGTCTGTGCACAACTCGCTCCTCCAGGTCCAAAGTATCGACCCTCACGCCGATTGGAACCAGAACCTGTCGCTTTGCCCGCAGTGCAGAGTGTGCTTTTGAGACCTCGCCTCTTGGGAGAGGACGTCGAAGCTCGAATGCAGGTTCCTCTTCAGTGGCATCAAGCGTCTCAACGGTATCGGTGAATGGCATGCGCATGGACTCTGCTGGCGATACACCCGATTTAGCACCAGTTGCGGCTGACAATGGGGACATGATTCGGTCAATTTTGGCTTGGGTTGGGTTTAATGCTAATGGTGAGCCTCGAGATGTACTGGGGGAGAATGTGTCCTTTGCGGGTGGTTTTGGACGGCCTTCTGTTTCAACTCTGAGCTGTGGACGCATCGAAACATCGTTTCCGCGGTGGTTCAGTGCCCTACTGGGCTGATGTGTGGTATTTTGCTGTGGTGGAGTAACATGCGAATCCTTTCTCGGTTGCGGATGAATCCGGGGTTGAGCAACCGGCTTCGTTGCAACGGTACTGTGCGAATGGGCGCTCTGTTGTGAGCAGGTCCTCTGCGGAGATGGAGCTTTCGTTTCAGGTGGAGCACTCTTTTTTAATGGGGCATGTGGAGTATGAGACTCTGACTTGATAGGAGGAAGAGGCTTGTCACAACTACTAGAGGACCGTGGGACATTGGAACGCTCGGAGAAAAGCTTCGCAATGACTGGTGACTCAAACGATGAAAGGCTACCCATATTTAAGCCATGACGGAGCCGTGGTGGAGGCATCTTTGACGGGCTTTGAATAGGGAGCGTATTTGCCCTCACCAGCGGTCCACGGGAAAAATTCTGTGTGCTGAGCACCTGGGCCGCTTTCGATGGCTGTGAAGTTGGAACTGGGGCGAAGCTTGATTGGGCAGGTGATGTTGCCCGGCGCTGCGGCATTGGGGGGGGTATAGGTGATGTCAGGAAGCCCTATCTCGGTGCATCGGTCAGTCTCATACTAATTTCTTCTTAGATAAAGTCCATACAGTTGCATCTGGCACGCGAAGATTGTCCAATGTCCTAGCCCTTCTGACCAGCAGGGAGGGTTTTTGGTTCTTCTTGGAGATATCGCCAAACCGAACACCGTACCGCCCCATCTCAACATCTGGAGTGTCGACAGTTGGTGTAACCTTGGGTGGCTTGTTGCCAAGTGAAAAGGTCCGACTCCGTTGGGGAGCTTGGATGCTTCGGCCAGGCATGTTCCTAGGATCAATTTCAACATTCGGCCACTCCTCCGTCGAGTTCTTTCTCAGCCGTGCTTTCTGCGGCTTCTCTGGCAGTTGGTAATCGTTACTTTGTGGCTTGATGTCGCTTTCTTGTGCGCTGTCTGGAAGCGATGTAAGCGCATTCTTAGCCTTGAAGAATCCGCCAATCTTCTTCCACTTGCTGAGCTTATTGGCTGAATCGCTTTCTGCAAAGATAGTTGTATCAAAACTGGGTGGCGTTAGAGGCCCGTTTTTGGTTAACTGGCCAGGACTGCCCAACGCAATGCCAATCATGTGTTCCTCAGTTCGGTGGCCCAATCGAGTAGTTGGAATGGCTTCATCTGGTGGTGTAGCTGTCCAAAAATCGAAAGTTGCATCTTCGCCTGTGAGCGGTTTTCTGAACCACCCATCTCCCGTTGAGGGCTGGCTGAAATCCCACTGTCCAACCATGACGGGCTGACCTGGATGTTGTGAGGGCTCAAGAGAGCGAAGATCGTTTCGTGGCAAGGCATCGGAATAGGTCAGAATAGGAAAGGAGATGCTATCCTTAGTAGGTCGCGTGCGAGACTGCACTGCTGTCACACCCCTTGCCATCTCGTACTACTATGTTGTATATTGGAATCCAGCCCACATGCGATAGAAAACGGGTTTAAAAAAAGGGGGGAAGATTAAGAGAATGATATTAAAAGAAATTCCCAGATTGCAAAAAGAGGAGATGGCCTTCCAGAAGGCCAACAACAATCTAAGAAAAAGAGAAGAAACAGCGAAATCTCAGGGTATGGACCAGCACATTAATGAAGACCAAATGAATTGGGTGGAGCAATCGCAATAACGGACCATGTAAATGAGACGGCCAAATTAACTCAACGCCTCCATCCAACCCTGCCGAGAGGTACGTGCCAACTGGCCTAGTCGAGGACTGAACCAACGAAACATGAGCAAACAGCCCATACTGGCAACCAAATTCTGTTTTGGAATTTGAGGGGTGTCTCAGCGCCAATGGTGAGCCCGTGTGAGATGCTTGTTTACCGTGGGAACGAATGAGCGCAGCGGTCGCGGATTGATTAGCTCGCTACCACGTTACATAGATAGGGCCAAGCCATGCAGGAGGCGTTTCACCTGGCCAAAACTGAGACAGGGTGTTGTATTCTGCGTTTTACCCTTAAAATCAGGGGGCAATCGGCTGTGGTTGAACGGATGTCCACATTCGGTGCACGGTCACGAATGTCATGAATTCTCCGACTTCGCACTATGAGTCGCCAGTGCGATGTGCCAAGCCTGTCTCTAGTTCCACGGTATATCTGCTGTCCCAAGGTGTAGACCAAACGCTACCCGAGACAAAAGATGGATCTCCCAAATGGCGGTCAAATCAGGATTGAAGTTCAGAGATTTAGGCCCTCAGGCATTCAGGCCCTCAGGCACTCAGGCATTCAGGCACTCAGGCATTCCGGCAGAAACTGAGATGATCGACAGTACAAATGATTGAGCTGACTGGGCTGACTGGAGGTAGCGGGATTGATATGTATGTCATACATCAACCTCGACATACCCGGGAACAGAATTTGAATAGACGCCTGGGCACATTCAAAAGTTACTGTTCAGCCCCTCGGTATACCTAGCTATTATAGGACCTTCCACCGCTAGTTGGAGAATCTCCTATACACACCCAACACACCCACCACACCCTACATAGATATTAGAATGTCTTACTTCGCATTGAAAAAAATCAGATTTTCTATTCAAAATCAGCAAATGAACAAATAAATATGCAACAATCAATATAAGCTAGGTATCCCAAGTCAGTTGCAAACGGTAGGATCGTCATTTGGCGGGGTCTTCTCCCGACCGCCACAACTAATTCCCCCCACTAACTCCTCTTCTTCTCCCAGCTCTCCTTTTTCTGTATATTCAAAAGGTGTGCGCTGAAATTTCTACTTCCTCTTCTTCTCTGACCTCTAACTCGTTCAACAGAGATTCTCTCAAACTCTTTACAGTCATCATGGGCGAGCACTCAGCAATCTGGCAAAGTATGAATCACCTTGAACTGCAGACTGTACTCTGCAGGCCGACAGTTGACCCCTTGCTTCTTCGAGTCCGCTAACACGAGATTTCTTCTTGAATTAGGCTATGTCGACTCCAGGTACATCACATCGCCGCCCCTCGACCCCTGACATGACCCTCATTGTTCCCAAAACATCCCACGGTGATTATCGGAAAGAGATGCTGACACGCTTCTTTTTAACAGCCTAATGGGCTCGGGTCAATTCGACAAGGCCGGTATCCTTGCCGCTGACTTCTCCGGTGTTGAGGCTGCCTCTCCCGGATTCGCGGTAAGCTCTTGCCTGTTGTTTTTTTCCTCGTGCGGGGACAAACTTCGACACAGTTGCTGACGTTTTTGTGTTGTCGAAATCTAGCTCTCCCAGGAGGAGATTAACTCCCTGATCACCGCCTACACTTCTAGTGACCAGGCCTTTGCCAGTGGATTCTCTCTCTGCGGTGAGAAGTTCGTCACTATCCGGGCTGACGAGCGCAGTCTATACGGCAAGAAGGTAAGCATATCCGTCCCCCCTAAACCCTCAAACACCTCCTGAATTTCTGAAATGCATGATATCGTGTTCTATCCGAATATATGCTAACCTCTTTGGTCTATGACATAGGGCAAGGAGGGTGTTATCATTGCCCGTGCCTCCTCTTGCACCATCATCGCCCACCACACTGAGGCCGTCCAGACCCCCAACGCGGCCACTGTTGTCGAGAACCTTGTCGACTACCTCAACAACCCCCAGTAAACCGGAAAAAACGCGATGATAACTGAATGATATGATGAGTTGGAGGGTTTGTGAAGAATAAGAAATAAAGGAGCGTGCGACTATTTCTCTCTTAAGCCCAGCGTGCCGTTTCACTTGTCCTTCTTTTCTGGCTTTGTGACTGGATTTTTTTGCCTCGAAGGGCCACGTCGAGCTGGATATGGTTCCCATTGCACAGTTGAGGGATACGATCTGGATTGCACGGTGCACAATGTAATTTTTCTATTCTAACTTGCATATTAACTGATTACCAACTGTTGAGTTAAAGCTGGGGGATCAAGAAGGGTCATTATTAATTACAAAAGGCCGAAGGCCGTAGATGGATCATATCATGCCGTGTCACATGTATAGTACAGCGTACTTGGACATCTCCAAACATGGCGATGGGCATCTGATATCCCAGAAACGTATGCGATGAAATTCACATACCCGAAGTTTGAAATACCATCAGCGAGCATCATTGCCAAGTCTCACTTTGTGTACACTCAAACAGGAAGCTCCGCATTGCTTCTCCCACCAGCAAGCACCTCTAGCCCACGCTGGACATACGATCCTATCACGGGGACGTTGCCCGCAAATTGACCGACCGTGACAAGGAAGTCGCCAAACAGAATGAACAGCCCATAAAGTTCAATCAGGAACCCAGTCAAGGGCCAGCGGAAGAGAATGAGGAGAATACCAGCGGCGAAAGCAGCAGTGCCCTTGAGTTTTTGCCTGCGCGTGAAGAAGGCCATAGTTTTCTGGACTCCAATTATGAGGGTCAATCCGATGAGAAAGAGGACCTGATGTGGTGAGTCAAGTATAACAATCTTTTTGGAGCATGTGGCGTACATTTCCCATAGCAAGTCTGTGGAGCAGGCATTAGCATTCAATTTCCTCCAAAAAAAAAGCGAAGCATCGGAATGGGCATACAATGACCGGTCAAAGAACATCAGCACTCCTCCAAATAGGAACAAGCCTCCTAATCAGCAGGTGAATTGGTTAGATCTCGACCCAAGTGATTGGTGCTTTAGGAACGTTGAAATTGTACCTGCTGAGCAGAAGATCGCACCGATCTCTGTAGTATAGATCAGCTTATGCTCGACAGTTGCTATACATAAACAGCCATGGCAGTGAACATTATAGCTTGTAGAACGAATGCGACTGACTCTGGTTCTCTGTTAACCACATGCTAGGCATCTTTTTTATAATTTCGGATTCGACTGTTGATGGTAATTTGTGGGATCGAAGGTTGTGCAAATATTCTCGATGTAGTGTTTTAGAGCACAAGACACCTTTCACTAGACACAAGTGGTCTTTTGTTGTAGAATCGGCAAGGCAAGAGGCTAGGCAGATACGGCAGGGACAAAGCGGAGATGTGGCGTTCTTTGCGGCAGAAAATAGTGAATCTCTTATTGCAGCAGCTTTATCACTTGAAGAGTCCTCGACACAAATCAAAAAGTGACAGCAAAAACTCCCGAGGCATGTAAACGGAAAACAACTCGAAATTCACAATTCTGCCATGCAATCGGCGCCAAGTCAGGAATGGTAGGCGGTGACTTCAACGTGCTTATATCGCGCACCGATCTTTCCACCTCCAAACTTCCCTTACAGAGTCTTCTTCGTTTTACGGGCAATTGAACTAGGTCATTAATGATGTGATCACTCCATTTGCACAGATTTTCTCGATCTCAACCTTCAGCGCTAAATCTACTGGTATTGAGATATGTCGAATGAATCACAATGTTGAGCATTGCTCATGCATACTGCAACCCATTGCAGATTTTTTTTTTACATGTTTTCTGCAAATGTCACGCCGCGACGACAGTCTCTTCGGATTCTGTAACTGGTACCCTGTCCCATGGGGTGTCGGTAATAGTCTAAGTGCTTATGCACAAGGCGAAGATCAACTCATTGATCACGAATAAGCCGGAGCGTTTTCTTGAGCCTGTCTCGAAAGGGGCATGGTGGGGTGGAAAGGGCTTGACTGTGTTGGTCGTACATGACGTTTCTTGGTGATTCGTATTTGTGTGTCTAGTAGACTTGATTAGTGGAGTTCTTGCTATCCAAAGTCTATCCAAAGTCTTTCTTACATTACCCATTTGTTTGGGAATTGAAAAAAGTAGTCATCTTACCACTTCTTTACTTCAGAATGGTATGCGCCCCGCGCGCTTCCAGGTAGTTCTCAGGAACACCCTGTGCCAGAGTCCGGATTACCTTGAAGATCTCCTTGTCGTGATACCGCAGTCGGGTCTTCGGGTCGGTGTAGGGTCCGCTCAGGCCCGTAATGTCGCAGTAGTGATGGTGGTAGGCAGGGTTAAACGATGGTGCTGATTCAATGTTCGTGTAGGTGACAGCGGGCCCATTCGGGAACGTCGCCCGGGCATTCTTCTCCAAGACGAGGGTCGAGAGGTTTTGGGTGGCCTGGGACAGGTTGGGTGCCCCTTCAGCGGAGGTTTGGGTGCCATCGGTGACAGCACCCGAGGCACCCGGCGTAGTTGCACCGGAGTTGACTTGGGTTGCCATCACTGAGGCCTCCTTACGGGTGGCCTCCGAGATGATCTGCTTGAGATTCTTGTTACGCCGCTGGGAGGGTTTCCAGTGAGGGTTGCGGAAGGGCTTGCGGACATGTGAAATGTCCAGTGTATTCAACAGCTGCTGGTGAGCTTCATCGTTGGCGGGCGGTGGTGGAGGCATGGTTTTGAATATATTTCAGGTCACCGATCTGGCCAATAGCGAGGTTGCGGAGGAAGCAGCTCTGGCGAAGCTTGCTGGTGTGGGTGGATGAAAGTGTGAAGACAGGGGTGTGGATAGGTATGATCAGAGAATATTAGATTCCTAGGTTGGCAAAACTTGGTTATATAAAATAGGGTGTAAAAAGACGGATTTCAAACGGACAAGATCAGGTCCAACGTAAACACCATGCAAGTAGTGTCCCCGGACCGCGAAGTCTGTATAGCCACACGTGACCTCATCCCAATTGAGTCCAAGCAAACACCTCCACGTCCAACATTAACACAACAATTTTTCAATCTTTTAGCCATGGTATGCGGTTTTATTTCCCATTTGATAGATTTGATACGGTTTGAAAGATCCCAGATGCTAATAACTCATTAGGAAAGCCCCCACGAGCATCAGCAGACTGTGCTGCTCTCCCGCATCATCACCAACGTTGTAAGTTATGATTGGACCACATCTAAAAGACTTGCTTTGCTCATTTTCTCACAGGAGAAGCTTAATGAGGCCATTATGGTCATGAACAAGGGTCTCCAGGTAAGTTTGGGTCACCTTCATTGATATCATCATAGTAACAACTCTCGATTACAGGAAGTCAACATCCAGAACATGAATGTTGAGCTAGTCGCCCAGATGTTCAAGAATTATCAGTCGAATGTTCTCTTCCACCTTGAAGGTATACCTTATTCTATCATATATCAACGTTGAAATTCTCTACTAACGCCCTGTAGCCACAGAGAACCTCCAAGACCCATCCTAAGGAAATCTAAAGAGGAACAGTTTCCTGTAACGAAGAAACGTGTGGATGAGCCTGTACTTAGTCAATGATACCAACTTCTAAAGTCAGTAGTAGGCGCATATATGTGGTTGTAATCGTTGCATCCCTGTACTCTGCACTCCATCCAAGCGATAGTGATAGCCTCCAATCTTGGCGGTCCAACTCCGCCAAACCTCATCAACCGCGTTTGTGCCGTTTGCCTCTTTGTCAATCCGCTGCCCTTTCCACAGGCTCATTGGTTTCCTCCTAATAGGACCTCATTTCCCATGCAGTGAGCCCTTGTCGCCATCTACGATCTCTGATCTCAATTGCTCCTGGTTTCCGGAGCGCAGCCCGCCATGACGATAACCTCCGTACACACTCTTCTACCAGCTCGCATTGCATCCAATGTCACCGAGACACGAATTGAGAAGCCCCCTCCACAACTCCACGGTGTACAAGACTTTCCATTCAAGGGGTATCATCCTCCGCAACCCGAGGGATACCAGCAGAGCCAGGCCCATCCGGACACCAATGCTATCGTCATCGATAATGGTAAGTAATTTCAAACAGTTTGCGATTTAACCCTGCTAATACATTTGTTTCACGCGCAGGCTCTCACCTGGTCAAGGCTGGTTGGTCTTTTGACAAAAACCCCCGATTCGCCATACCCCCCGTCATGAGCCGATACCGTGATCGCAAGCTCAACCGCCAGTGCCAATTTATCGGATACGATGCCTACGTCGATGCAACGACGAGAGGACAGTTGCGCAATGGTTTTGACCCCGGTTCAAGTGTTGTCGGTAACTGGGATGTCATGGAAGGCGTGTTAGACTACTTGTTCCTCAAGCTGGGCGTGGACGGTGCAAATGGGGGCGTCGGCCGCCCGATCTTGATGACGGAGCCAATCGCTAATATGGCATATTCAAGGAAGAGTGGGTATCTGACGGTTCCAAAGCCAGTATGGTGATTGCTGACACTCCTTTAGTGATGAACGAGATCCTCTTCGAATGCTACTCTGCGCCGTCTGTGGCTTATGGTGTCGATTCCCTCTTCTCCTATCGCTATAATGGTGGAACGGACGGTTTGATTGTGGACTCAGCGCATACGTCCACTCATGTCATTCCGGTCATGAACTCGAAACCCATGTTTTCCAACAGCACTCGTCTCAACTGGGGTGGCCTACAGAGCGCCGAATACCTGATGAAGCTCTTGAAGCTGAAATACCCAACCTTCCCGACTCGGTTGACGGACGCACAGATGGAGGAATTGGTCCATAAGCACTGTTATGTCTCACAAGACTACGATCGCGAGTTGAGTGGGTTTCTCGACTGGACAGGACTAGAGGACCGTGACCGCGTCATCCAGTACCCGTTCACAGAGCATATTGTGCAGGAGAAGACTGAAGAAGAGCTCGCGCGGATTGCGGAGCGCAAAAAGGAGAGCGGTCGACGCCTACAAGAGCAGGCCGCAAGGATGCGACTTGAGAAACTAGTGAAGAAGGAGCAAGAGCTGGAATACTGGAAAGACTTGCAGAGTAATCTAGCCAACGAAACTAAGAAGGAGATTCGTCGCATTCTGGAAGCCGAGGATTTGAAAGATGAGGCTGCGCTTGAAAAGTTGATTCGCGAGCTGGAAAAGTCTATCAAACGCTCACGCAACAAGGATTTAGGTATCGAAGAAACTGAGGAGCAGCCTGAGGAAATGACTTTCCCCATGCTCGATATCCCTGATGACCAACTGGATGAGGCCGGATTGAAGGAAAAGCGACACCAACGTCTCATGAAGTCCAACTTCGATGCCAGACTGCGTGCCAAAGAAGAGAAGGAGCGCGAAAAAGCTCGTATTGAGGAGGAGGAGCGTCTAGACCGTGAGACGCGTGAGAATGATTTCGAAAACTGGATTGCAAAGCGCCGCAACAATCGCCAGGTATGTTGGCCTGATGTGACACCTGATGTGACAATATAAATTCCCGTGCTAATAATCCTCAGGGCATTCTACAAAAAATCAAAGACCGAGACCGCTTCACGGCCGACCTAGGAAACCGCAAATCCCTGGCCAGTCAGATGCGCATGAAGACGCTCGCCAACCTAGCATCCGACGGTCCTAAGAAACGCCGCCGTGGCGGGGACGACGATGACTTTGGTGCTAATGATGAAGACTGGGGTGTTTACCGCACTGTAGCTGTTGGCGAGGGCAGTGACGATGAAGAGGAGGAGGATCTCAACGGAATGCTCAACTCTGTAGAGAAAGAGCTCCTCGAGTACGATCCCGAATTCAACGAGAGCAACACTTTCGCCGCACAGTCCGACTGGACAAAAAGTCTTGTGCATGCCTTCCTTCGTGGGCCCTGGCCTTTCGACCCGGAAAGCCAGCGGGAGGCACACCAACTGCATCTGAACGTCGAGCGCATCCGTGTGCCTGAGGTTGTGTTCAAACCGTCCATTGCTGGCCTCGACCAGGCTGGTCTGATCGAGATCGCGGCCGATATCATTAATCAACGCTTTTCCAGCCCAGCAGATCAGTCCCTTCTTTTGAAGGATGTGTTCTTGACTGGAGGAAATACGTTGTTCACTGGCTTCGATGAACGCTTCCGTAAGGAAGTCCGCGGATTCCTGCCCATCGATGCAACACTGAATGTACGCAAGGCGTCAGATCCAGTCTTTGATGCTTGGAAGGGCGCGGCACAGTGGGCTTCTGGTGGCGACCTGGCTCGATCCTCAGTCACGCGGCAAGAGTACCTGGAGAAGGGCAGCGAATACATCAAGGAGCATGAACTTGGCAATGCTTCATGGTGAGTTGAAAAAAGCGATTTCCGAGAACACCTGCTTGGGCGCACTGGAGTCAAAAGGTCTGCTTATTTCCGGCGTGGTATAAGGCATGTTTTTTTCGATACTAAAAAAGATGTTATTGCGGAGCTTGCAGAGCTCGGTGGTAGCGAAATATGACATGATCAGCCCTACGTATGAATAACTACACCTACTTATGTTAATAGACCCTGTGTCAGGGCTTGTCTTGCCTTCAATGAGCATCCATATTTCCCTTTGACCACTCTCGCTACTACTATATCTCATATCCTACACTCTTCTCTTTTGTGCCTCATCTCACAATTTTCTCAAACTCTCCCATCTCTCTGCTTTCCCCCTATTTTACCCAATCCGATCTCCCAGTCCAACACTCGTTTAAATATGATGGCCAGAGCAGAAACCCCAGGGGTTGATACGGGCGACAACTCAGGCCAGGACAAGTAGATGCTGTGAATGAAGCCGAACACGCAGCAAACTCCGCAAGCTACTGCAGGGCATGTTGGCTCTGTTCGTGAGAAATTTCCCTGGAGGTAGGATCAAGCATTCTTTTCCAAATTCAGGACGACAGCGGATACATCAACGGTGGTCTGTTTAGCATCTCTGCAGCCGGCACTCTCCCAAACAAACCTGGGTTTTGTATACATCTTAATAGCAAGGGTCCCAAACAAGTCATTTTCCAGAGTAGGACGTGCTCCCGATTTCTATCAATGTGCTGTGCTTTAAGTTGGGGGTCCAAGACTTCTACCTGCATGGCCTCTGGGGTGATTCACGTTAGGCTGGTTTGAGGTCAAAGGTAACTGTAGCCAAGTTAAAACCATTGGAAATGGGTTCTTCTTCCACTGACCAGTTAAAAAGTAACCGCTTTGGTCTTTTGTTCTCGGCCGTGTCGGGACATTCTTGTAGACTAGTCCACCCACAACATGATCAGAGGACAACAATGTTGTACGGGCGAATTTGATCTATCACACAACACTGTGGTGTGCCCATAACTACTTCATAGCATCCTTTGCATTCTAATAGCCCTCACACAATAGAACTACATTGTATCTCCCTTGGACATTGTAAATGCTCAAAGTCCAAGTGAAGGGATGTGACAATCCCCGAATCAACCCGAGTGCATCGAAAAAAGCTTTATAGATGCTGAAGATATCTTTGATCATGGCCCCTGCAGGGAGAACCCCGCTATTGGGTGATGCTGCAGTGTATACGGAGTAGTCATGTTGTTCTCGTCGGGGGTTATGCACTGGTGGTGCAATCCACCCATCCTCGCTCTGATTGGCACTTGGTAACTGTCATATCACGACGTTAACCAGACGTTGGATAATCTTCCGCAAGCTACCGACTGGTTTTTTTGTTTGTCGTTATTCGCTTTCTTCAGGTAAACCTTGGGTTTGATTTGGGCCATCTCCGTGGGTGTAAGAATTTGACATTGTCAATCCTCCAACCTCGCATAGAACAGAAGTAGATCGAACTCAGTGCATGACAGTTGAAATAATAAGCACAGTCTCCAATTGTGGAAGAGTAGGCGGCGTCAAATTGGGATCTGGCCCAGACAGGGTTGGTTCTGACTCCATGCAGAGGCCATCATGACGCACCTGGGGAATTCTTGCTTTTCGTCCTTGCCGGCCCTGGCCCTGACCCTAGACTATTATGAACCTTGCTGCATTGTACTTGGCGTCTTGTTTGCTTTGTTACTGATAGTTCGATGGAACCAGTGATGTTGGGGTGATCGATTCGGAGATATAAAATCATGCTCTCTGCTGTTCTGCTGTGGAAGCTGATTCCTTTTTCCTTGCTCGGATTTTCTATATTTCTTGATATCCTAAGAGCGTGTCATACCCTGCCTTGTTGTACCCCCTTTCACTTTTTGTATACTTCTCAGTTCGTCTACTACATGCAATGGGCTTCTCGACAACCCTTGCTCGTCCATTACAGCTGGTTACTCGCACCATGCAGTGGAGTAGTGCTGTCATTGTTATGGGTCTAACCTCGTTCTTCATCAATCACGGTCCCCGTGGCCAGCACACCATCTACCAGGAAGTCATTGTATGTTACTAGAGCTCTTCTAGATTGACGAGTTACCCCAGAGCCCTATAATCTAAGCAATCATAGGCTGTCCTCTCAGTCGTGTTCTTCCTTCCGGCTTTAATTTCCCCATTTTTGCCCTCTTCGTTGGGCAGATTCGTGCTCGCTATCGATGTCGTTTTCTCCTACCTGTAGGTCAACATTCAAATATCTTACCCACATCAGAGTCTCTGATATCCTTTCTAGATGGTTGACTGCATTTATATTCTCTGCACAAGACTATAGCACGAGACGGTGCTATAATGCTATCCCTGCGGGCCTCAAATGCAAGCGCAAGAGAGCCAATGAAGCTTTCATCTTCCTAGTTTTGTCTGTTGCCTTAGTCTCCCAGCTACTGTGAATTGATGAAAACTAACATTATTGTAGTATCTTCACCTTCTGCGGCATGTTCCTGGAAGTCGCTGCCCTCTGGGCTAATCGTAGGGAAAACACCACCCCTCGCACCGAGGACGATAAAGTCAACTCTGGAACCCGTCCACCTCTTGATGCGCCTGCAGCTCCTGCTGGAACTGTCTGACAACTATACCGGCTGCATTCCTGAGCATCTGCTATCTCTTGACGCGGTCAAAGGTTGTAGACATCTAATTTGCTGGGACGGTCAGGAAACCACTTTGGATTTTGGATTTCTTTGTGTGTTCCTTTTTCAGTTTTATCATAATGAACTTTGGCAGGGACTAGTTTGAACATATGTTACTATGAGTGATGAGAGCAGGGTGAAGTTCATATCTGATGGATAGTACTGTCTACATCCGTCGCGGACGTGGGGATACATTCTTACTGCAACGGCCTCTTTATTCTTAATATATTAATCAATCAGTTACTTTATACTAGGCTTGAAAACTTGGGGTGTTTGATATAGTGGTTGCCTTTCCCCGTCTTCGATCAAGATTTCCAAGATTGTTTGTCTACTTGTATACTTAAAATGGCTTAAATGGCCTGACTACCAAAACTGAAATAGAGACCTTGGAAGGAAATGTCATATGACTGCCAGCAAAGCTGTATTTCTAATTTCTGGCTATTTTCAGTATACACTGAATGGACATGTTCAATGAGAGAAGCCACTAAATCGGCATCTTGCGCAAGAAGAGGTGCCAGCACAAAGCAGAGGAGATCGCATGCAGGGCTGAGGCGAAGGGTAATGTGGAAACAGTTAAATGCTTGCTCGGCGAGGAGCCATCGTTCGCTGCAGCTTGCGCTTTTCCTCGGTTTCTTCCGGGATGGGCAGTGAGCCCTCGCTCTTCAAACGGTCGAGAAATTCCTTTCCATATGCGTAGCCGACTTGGTAGATCTCGTCGAATTTGCCGAATTCCAGGGTACCGTATGGGTCGATAGGAGGACGCATGTACAGACAGCCAGGAGTGTTCTTTGCACGTTCAAGATTGTCGAAGGATGAGACATACGCCAGTCGTGCTTGTATTTCGGAAAGTGTAGGTGGGTTCGGGAGTGAAGAGAAGGGGTTCCACCGGTTGAACACTGACCAGAATCCTGACAAAGAGTCTCCGAATCCCTGGGGCGTGGTGTCGTCGATAGACCCAACATCGATTGCAAATATGACATCCGCTCCAAGACTTTTCATGTGTGCTACAGTGAGATTGTCGATGTAACCACCATCCAAGAGCATGCTGCCTTCGTCGCAGATAGGAGGCATCAGGCCGGCCAACGACATCGAGGCCCGAACGTATCGCCACACGTAACCAGACGAATGATACTCAATTCGAGATCGGCTGATGTTGGTTGTGTTGCAGTAGAACTCCAACCAGAAATCTTCGATTTGGCTGTCTCCAAAAGTCTTGAAAATCCCGCGGTTGAACTCATGACCTGTGGTATAGGAAACAGTGGGATAGGTCAAGTCCAATGCAAACCGCCACATACTCCCCATACGCCCAGAGAACTTCTTGGCTCGCCCGTACATAGGCACAACATCAGCGTCACGCGCGTACAGAGCTCCAATGAAAGAACCAATCGATGTGCCACCGATGATATCGATTGGGATTCCAGCCTCCTCGAGCGCTTTAATGACACCAACTTGCGAAATGCCACGCGCTCCACCACCGCCCAGTACAAGACCAACAGACTTGCCACACAAACGTCGAGCCAGACGATGGAAATCACCCTTAAAAGGGGTTTGTGGGGAGTAGAGTGGGGTTTGCTGTGCACGCCGGGACGTATATTTTTGAATTTCGGCTTGCAAGATTTGCACGCGCTGCTTCAACACAGTTCCGAATTTCTTACTCGGCGGGTGCGAAGCCTCTGTGGTCGAGCGGAAGGCCATTTGAATGTGGTGATGGCCACCGTTGATCCACACCCGGTTCTTGAGCCATTCCCGAGTGAGGCCAGGTGAACAGTATCGTTCCGCGTGCAAAAGAACTAGTTCTTTACGAGCAGTAGTCTTCATACCCAGCAAGAACCGCTCATATTCTCCAATTCTGGGGGAAGATTCTGCGAGGCCTACCAACAGAATAGAGTCAGCTTGCGCGATGCAAGTCTGGGTCCACGGTGCGTTCACGTTAGTGTCAGCGATGTACAAGACCATTCCGAATTTTTCTTCAAGGTCGGCCAGGTATTGCGAAAGCTTAAGCTTCCCCATCTTGCTAAAGGCATGGCGACCCAAGTGGTTCAGAATCGTTGCTTGGTTGAGTGATGTGACACCTCTGGTCACACCAATTTGGTGCAACGCCTGTAAGAGTCTATGCCCAAATTCCACCACCGGGACGCCAGCCATGACCGGAAGAATTGCCACAGTGCGAAGATTGACTGTTGATGTTGCAGTCTGAATTCCGCCAGCATGTCTCTGTTCAATCCCATTTTCAGAAAGTGGATGCTCGACTAAATCACGCATTCGCTGGGCAATAAGTTTAGATATCTGAATGGTAATTCCCGGATGTTCCTGGGCAAGACTGTTGAAAAGAGACCGGGGGAACTTGGCTAATTCCGTTTCACGAATAGCATGCAACGTAGAGGGTCTTGTGGATTCAGTCATGACTTCAAGTTCGCCAACACTTTCTCCCTGGCCGTGTTCGCCAATGACGGTAATCTTGCCGTTTGATCCCTCAAGTACAGACCGCAGACGACCGTTCAGAACAAGATAAATCGCATCGCTTTCATCCCCTTGGTGATAAATCACCTGTCCGGCGCTGACCTGCACCCACTCTAGCGCAAAATCAATGTGAAGCAGCAAACGCGGCAGCAGTCTTGTCAACCGCTTTGCCAGTGTTAACAGAGCAGTTGGGTGTCTATCTGCGATTCTCTCGAGGGAAGCACGGGGAAAGAATCCAACGTAGACATCCGTCTTGGCCACAACATCTGTGTACGAACGGAACGATGCAAGCGCACCTACATACCCTTGAATGCCACCAGGTTTGATCAGGTGTAGCGATTTGCGGGACTGGGTCTTCCGTCGAGGGTCATTGCCGCCTGCTGGGCCAGGGGCGCGCGACGATGCTGTCGTTGTTCGTCTCAGCCTCGGGAACAGCTCCTCTTGCGTTTGTGAGACAGATCCATGAGATGGCCCAACAAGGGTGTTCTCACGTTCAGTTACCGGAATACCCACGTCCAAAAATCCATCAATCACGTAGTAGAGACCTGGATGGCGCTCACCCTGTTCCACCAAAACCGAGCCTTGTGGAAAGTAGACTACTTCAATGTCATTGAGGAGGTCTTCCCGGAGGTTGACGACTGGCGAAGTCCCCCCTGCGCTCGTCACTGACATGGAGGACATCATGGATTCGGATTCGCCATCACCGGACCCTTCGAAGGGGTCCATAAAGCCAAATGCGTTGGAGAACACTGCCTTCTGGCGGCGGTTATCGTAGGAGAGAAGTCTCGGCGACGCGTCGCCAGAGTTACTGCTCTTGCGCAGATTATCGCGTGCATCTTCGGTGAGCCCAATACCCTTCATGATACAGTTCAAGATCGACTCGCGGAAGATAGCATCCTCGTCCACTGACTCATTTCGCTGGAAAGTTGAGGGCAGGCCATTGATTGCAGCGGTGGATACAAATTGAGGTTGCTCCCGCTCAGTTAGAGGGGTCTGAAGGCGAGGTGCCAAATGATCATGTCGCGGTCCAAACCGGGACAATTGTATTGTCGATAGCAGATCACCAGGACTGACGCCAGCCAATTCCCTGTCAATGAGTGCCGGTGGTGCCTTTTGTGGGCTTAGGGGTGTGAGAGAACGCTCGCTGGCCACCTTTGCTTGTAAAAAGGCTTCCTTTCTGAGGGTACTGCTCGAGTGTCCTCTGCGGCCAACAGAAGGATTATGAAGAGCAATCCCTTTTCTAATTTCTTCCGGTCCCAATCGCTCTCGCTCTCGCGTGAATTTGTCCTTCAGGCGGTCTAAAGCACTTCCCCGAAGATCATTCGGGAGGTCCCAAGAGGTGAATTTAGACATCTGCCGTTCTATTCCCAAAACATCGCTAGTCAGGCCCAAATAAGAATGCGCTGTGGCAAATGTGACCCGCTGGAGACGTGTCAGGATAACCTGGACAATGTGCGACGTTGCCCGTGGGTAGACTCTGGTCAAACGGCGGAATGCGCTCGCAGGGATGATAGCAATCGTTGTGTCAACTGTAGCCCGTGCTACAATATCTGGGTGTACCGACTTCCGCCGTTTTTTTTGGGCATTTTGCTTAGTCTCGGCCTGTGAGGTCTGGCCAGGGTCCTGTCGGGGCAAGGTATGGCTCTCTCCGAGGTTCAGTGGAGGCACTGGTGGCAAGGTGTCGGCAGATCCCCGGGCTGCAGTGCTCAAGGTCGCGGTATCTCTGACGGTAGACCCAGGACTGACAGGGAAGGTATCAGGCACATTATTCTGGCCAGTGGTAGGACTGGACATACTGGAGCTGTAACTCCGTGAGTTACGAAGCTCAATATCCTCTGTGAACAGCTGAAGGATAGAAAACAAAGACGACATCGAAGCGCCATTCTTTACTTCAGTAAGAAGCTGATAGCCCTGTCGGTTGTGAATGTTCCGGTCATCTTCGTCTGAGGAGGCATCGTCCATATAGAGACTCTCTTGTGAGCCTGGCTTTCCTTCACGTGCTGATTTCACAAAGATCTGGACCAGCCCATCTACAACCATGCAGAAGCCCTTCTCCTCCTCCAGCATGAGCGTCTCTCCCGCGATCAGCTTCCTGGTCTGCATCGTCCGGGTCAGCTCGTGGAAGACGGGTCGTTCGAGGTAGCCAAAGACTTTGATCGCACTGAGAAATTCATCGAGATAGTTGGCAAGCCCTGGTTTTGAATCCCCTTCCTGGCTATCTGGGAACAAATCGACCTGTGCTTCTTTGCGTTGAGGCTCCGGGGGCAGGCGACTGTACGTATTGAGGTACCGGTAACGGATGAACCAGCTGACGGTCGATGCTAGGGCAAGGAAGATTAACATTCTACGGGTCATGATTGATTAGCAAGAGTCAAGGATTCAATTTAGGAACAAGAGCAAGGCCTACATGGTGGTGAAATTCATGGTGAAGGTCAAGCTCATAGAGAAGAGCGTGAAGAGCCATGTGGGCAGCGTTATAGTCGAGAATGTGATTATCGAGTAGAGAACGCTTGGAAGGGTCTGGAAGACAAGGGTAAACACCCAACCGATCCACCCCGCCATAATTGAGGGAGCTGGAGGGGACGGTGGGGGTTGGGAGATATAAGCGCTAGAAGCGAGGGGATTAATAGAGGTTGAAGTTGGAGCCGTTAGACTGAGGGCGAGTGATGAGGCCAGGCCAGCCATGTTAACCACATGCAAGATTGGGGAGCTCCGCTTGGTGTTCCGGGTCTAAGCTTGAGACTAACTCGGGTTGACTTAGATCAATGCAGAGGTGAACCCAACCGTGGGCCCGTTAGGCCTAAAGATTGGAAGCATCACTAGACGGTGTGGGTGTAGGGTGGAATATGAAGTTTAGGTGAGATGGATCAGAGAGGGATAGAGTTGTTCCAAGTCTGTGACTTTACAACATACGTTTCAAATCCGAGGCGGAATGTGAATCCTGTCTATGCCAACTACTCCGTACAATTTCAGTTTTTAAAAAAACACTCACTCTGTTTTTCAATTCTCAAACTAGTATTCTATAATTAACCCGATCGGTTCTATACTTCCACGAACCCTATGATCCCTATGATCCCCATGATTCTATCGAAACATCCTTATCACAGGCCAATCCACAGTGATGTAATTGTTTACAATCTTCCAAGCCTTGGGAGTCCACATAGTAGCAACACAACTTTGAGAGACTTGCAGAATCAGAATCGAAGATAAATCTGGAAGGTACTCAATTCTCCTCCAGCTTCCGCCATCAACAATTTGTCAAACCCTCATTTGATGTAATCTCAACAACATGGAGCCCTTTCTCGCAGGAAAGTATGGATTGCTCTGGACAGAAAAAATTTACATATTTATGCATATATATATGCAACGTTGCGTTTGGTGAATGGTGGATTCAACTAAAAAAAGAACAGCAAGAACAGCAAACTGAATAAGAGACACTGGACATGATTATTCTAAAATCCAACATCAATTGTTAATAAGATATAATAGTAGTTTTCAAGTCTCCAACACAAAGAGACCAGTCGAAACTGACCTTCCACATGGGATTCCGCCTTGGCCACACTGCCGACCTTGGAAACCAATGCTCCCCCTCACTTCCCTTTGCCCACTGCTATTCTTTTTATTTTTGGTAAACGCCTTTGCCAGTGGCCTTGAGTTTCTACATTCTATTGTCGTCTGGGTTCTCAGAACCGCGGCAATGTTTCAAGTACCTACTCGCCCTTTGGATGATGCGCCTTCCTAACTAACACTCATCACAGCGGCTCCGCGACGCCATCGACTCTCGCATTGCAGAGGAACAAGCACGTCAAAAGTCCGCCCAAGATAATATCGAGCGCTCCAACTCCGCTCGCCGTCCTCCTGGACGCAACCAGTCCCCGAATCGGCGCTCCCGTCCGCGACGCAACACTGGCACCCCCATTCGAGGGCCCGACCCTAAGGAGTTTGAGGCTGAATTTACCATCGGTGACGATGAATCCAGCAGGTCCGGTACTCCTCAAGCTGATATACCAGAGGGTGCCCCAGAAGTAAACACCTCTAACGAGGGAGAGAGTGAGATGGTCGAAGGCAAACCGGCGGAGACGCCCGAGAATGAGACAGGGCAGGAGACCATGGCTGTGCTTTCCCCTGAGGTTCGCGCGAAGCTCCGACGACTTGATAAGCTGGAGTCCCGATACCATGGTATGCATCTGCCCGACCAGACTGTAGGGCACAAGACTTACCGTGCACATTAGAATTGCTCAAGGCCTACCGCACCGCTCACTCGCGCGTTCTATCGATCGAACCCTTTGAAGCCACTTTGCGCGAGAACACCCCGCTTACATCGATCGCCGAACCTAAAGCTTTCACGGAATACCTTAATCAATCAACATTGAAAAGCGACATGGTTATGGAAGAGCTGAAGCGCGTCACTGAAGAAAGGGAAGAATTCAGAAAGAAGTTCGAAGTGGCCCAGCAGGCTGCCAAGGAGGCTTTGGATGAGGTTACTGGTCTCAAAAACGAGAAACCCCAGACTGCGACAACCAAGGGGACAGACGGAACTGGGGAACAGGCCGGCGAAGAGTTCTTTTCGTTTGATAATGAAGTTCCCCGCTTGGAAGGAGAACTTAAAGAGAAGCAAGAAGAGGTTGAGAGCCTAAAAATCGAAGTCGAAAAGCTCAAGCGCGATATGTCTGTCACCCGCGAGTCAACTGAAAGCTTGGTGCAGAACTTGGAGACAGCCAGCCGGGAGCTCGTTGAGCTGCGCGAAACCAAAGACAATTTGGATGCTGAGATTAAGACTCTGCAAACCTCTAAGAAGGCCGATATCGATGACCTGAAGGCGAAGCTAACAACTGCGGAATCCTCTCTCAAATCAACCACATCTGAGGTTGAGAAGCTCAACTCTCAGCTCAAGGAGAAGACTGAGGAAATCGACCAGCTCCAGAAACAGGCATCCGAAAGAACCGAGTCCGATTCGGACCTAGCTGCTGAGTTGGAGATGACCAAGGAGGAAAAGAAATCCGACGAGAAAAAGCTCGTTGTGCTTCAGGGCTTAGTTGATGGTCTCCGATCTCAGCTTAAGGACACCGAATCTACTATCTTGGAACTGAAGACTGAGATCGAAGAGAGGTGCGAACATTCTGCTAAACTACAAGATATCTATGAGTTTGTGAATGAAAATTTGAAAGAGAACAGGGCATGGGTGTCTGCTAGGGAAAAAGTCTTCGCTGGAGAGCTAGCTGACTTCAATGAGGTTGCCAAAACCCTGGCAGCGGTCGATGAAAAGCCCACTTCGACTGTCCCCGCTCCTGCTCCTGCTCCCGCCCAAGGAGAGACACAGCCTGCTCAAGCTACTGGCGGTGGCGGTAGTGGAGGAAAGAAGAAGAACAAGAAGAAGAAGAAGAGCGGCAAAGCGGAGGAACCTATTAAGCCGGCTGATGCGGCTCCTGCAGAGCTATCACCCACAGAGGCGCCTGCCCCAGCTACCAAAGAGCTGGATGAACTCAAAGAAAAGATCGAAACCCTCACCCAACAACTGTATGAAAAGCAGGCCGCCATTGACCGTCTCAGTTCTAAGCTGAAAGGCGAGGACAACTTGAAGGAGGAGATTGAGTCCCTTCGTGATGACCTTGTCAACATCGGCCAGGAGCATGTGGCAGCCAAAGACAAAATCAAGGAGCTTTCAGCAGAAAAGACTTCTCTTGAAGAAACCATTGGCAAGCTAGAGAAGGAATTGGTGGATCTTCGCACTAGTAGCGCTTTGACTTCAGCTGACTCGGAGAAGGCGCACGCCTCACTCAAAGAGGAATTCGATAACCTCAAGGTCCGCTCTGTTGCCTTGGAGACTGATATTTCTGCCGCCCAGCAGCTGGCTGCCACTCGATTCAAAGATCTTACAGACCTCCGTGAAACTCTTCAGAAGGTTCAACCCGAATTGCGGAGCCTACGTGCCGAGTCTTCGGAGTTGAAGACCCTGAAAGAAACCCTCACTAGCAAAAACTCCGATTTAAAGGCCCTTGAGGGCAAGCATGAGGATCTGCGTGCTGAGCTGAAGACCTTCAAGTCGAAGGTCTCAGAGCGTGACGCAGAAGTGGGTGCCCTCAACAAGAAGATCCGACAAGAGACTGACAGCCGAATGAAGGCTGAGGAGTATCTTAGTGTCACCCAATCTAACCTGCGTTCTGCCGAGAGCAAAAGGCAAGATGCCATCAATGCCAGAGACAAGACTGCAGGCGACCTCTCCAAGGCCCAAGACGGGTTGAAGAATGCTCGTATTAAGATGCGGGAGATGGACGAACAGATTTCTCAATTGAACAAGGAACTCGCAAGCCTCCGAGACGAAATCCAGCTAAAGACAGCTCAGCACAGCAGCGCCCAGGGCTTATTAAATAGCATGCGTGACCAGACCACGGAAGTTGCAATGCAAATGAAGGAGGCACGTGAGCGATGCGAGAGCCTGGATGAAGAACTGGCGGACGCTCACCGTCTGCTGAGCGAGCGAACCCGCGAAGGCGAGACCATGCGCCGTCTGCTAAATGATATTGAGGGCCGTTCAGAGTCCAAGGTCAGAGACTTTAAGGAACGCATGGAGGCTGCTATCGAAGAGCGAGACCGTGCTGAAGATGAAGCCAGCACCCAAGGCCGTCGCCGTGCCCGCGAGATGGAAGAACTCAAGGGTAAGGTCCGTGAAGCTGAGCGCGCCCTGCGCACGGCAGAGCAGGACAAGGAGGAGCTTGAACAGTCTCAAAAGGACTGGCGCCGCCGTCGTGATGAGCTCGAATTATTATCTGAAAAGTCATCACGGGAAGTGACCGAGGTTCGGCAGGCCATGGCTGGTCTGCGCGATGCTCTCGACGCAAGTGAGAAGCAAGTTCGTGATCTCGAGAAGGACAAGGCAGAGCTTCGTCGTTCAGTGGAAGAGACAAACAACCGACTGGAGAAGCTTCGAAAATCCCACAAGACACTCGGGGAGGACGTCCGCCTACGTGGCTCCCCGTCCGGTCGACAATCCTCGCGGTCATCTATGGATTCAGGCTCTCGCCGGGCAGCCGCATCTCCTGGTAAGAGCGAGACTCCTCTCGGCCCACCCAGCAATGCATCCATTGACTTCATGTACTTGAAAAATGTTCTTCTCCAATTTTTGGAACAGAGGGACAAGAACTATCAGAAGCAGCTGATCCCTGTTCTGGGAATGTTGCTCCATTTCGATCGGTGAGTATCCTACGGAACTTTTCTCTTCAACAAGGGTCACTAACCAACATAAACCAACACAGCACCGATGAGCAAAAGTGGATGTCAGCCATCATGTCCAAATAATTGGCGTTTATACCCATGGGCGTGGATTGCATATCCAAGTCCTTTGCTCTGTACAATATCACTCCGTAGAGATAGTACAATCTCCTTCTATTAGAGTGAAAAAAAAACACTGTTCAGTTCAACGATGTCATTTATGCCTATCAAGACAGCATTGAGATCTAGCATTCCGTTGAAGACAGTTGAAAATCCATGTTAACCAAAGCAGAATGTCACATCTAAACAGAATCGGTAACATTGCCTAATCCGGGATAGTAAAATCCTGGGGTCGCGAAGCTTGCCAAAAAAAAAGAGCAGTGCATATACTAGCAAGTACAAAAGTCTCAAAGAGAAAGAGGCTTTCATGTACTGAAAATTCGTCATGGACTATCTGCGTCCTCTCTCCAACACCACGGTCGACCAACCCACCATTCGTCTCGCGACCCCCGAGGGCAAGTGCATTGACCTCAAACGCTTCTGAGCGCGTAGCACAGACAACTGACACCAGGTAGATGTCCCCCTTATCCTCCAATTCATCTGCGAACTAGCCGATTATGAAAAAGCCCTCCATGAAGTCGAAGCCACCGAAGAATCTCTCCTAGCAACCCTCTCCTTCCCCGATACCCCGCCCAAGCGTGGCGCCGTCTACACAGCTCTTATTACCCCGCCCCATACCGCCGACACTCCGAACCCAATCCCCGTCGGAATGGCCCTGTACTTCTATAACTATTCAACCTGGAGATCTGCCCCTGGTATCTACCTCGAGGATTTATATGTGCAGCCGAACGCGCGCGGTCATGGGTACGGCTTCAAGTTACTTAAGTACCTTGCGAAGCAGGTGCTTAAGGTGTCTGGCCGGCGGTTGGAGTGGAGTGTACTCACCTGGAACGAGCCTAGTATCAAGTTCTATGAGCAGGTTGGTGCGCGCGGTATGGATGAATGGATGAAGATGATGGTTGAGGGGGATGCGTTGACTCGTTTGGCGGAGGGTGCGTAGAGGGATGCATGGGTTGGTGTTGGGCGCTGGGTAATTGTTTCTGTATACTACTACACAGAGCATGGGGGACGATTTGCCCCAGAGTAATCAATTTACATTGATAGAGCTCAATGCAGATTGAGGGCTAAAGTGGGCTGCTATAAATGTAAGTTCTATGGAGCAAAAATCGATGATTTACAGCTATGTATGGCTCCAGGGGAAATGTGTTGTTTTGGAAAAAAGCGAAAATAAAGTGAAATGCACATGACACAAGAATCTTCCCACGTCGTTAATGTAGAATGAGACAAGCATCATGTTAGCGCAACACAGCTTCGCCCCTAAGCACTTTAGCGCCAGGTGACGGCATTGACCTGCCGATCACCTCGATTCGCCCTGTTTCATTTTCTTTCTTCTTTCAACTCACCCAGCGATGGCGACTATTTCGGATAATGTTCAGGATTACAATCTCCATGTGGACTATGTTATCCGTTACAGCTTTGGAACTGTAGGTGAGTAACAGAGAGCTCTAGGGTGTGGCGGGAGATACATTCTAACAGTTGCAGACCGTTTGCAGGCAATTGAGCAGCTAGAAAAACTGCTCCAAGCACTTGCCCAAGTTGGTCTACAGGTAGAGGTTCGACAAGGTGATGAGTCGTCTTTGCTCGTGTTTGTGAAAGCTTTGGAAAAGCGGCTGAAACGGGCTATTCATCGGTCGCGGTAAGTGATGATGGCTGATCATTCTATGCCAATCTGCTAATCTCGACTTTACATGTCCACAGAGTACGCGACTGGCTATACGGCATTCGTAATGCTGAGCCCACACCTTCCAATTCGACCGAGCCCCAGAATGAGGCTGAACGCTTGCGGGTGATCAACCAGATGATCACGCTTCCCAAGGAAGAGGGCGGGGCTGCTATCACCCCCAACCATGGCGAATGGAAGAACGTCACTGCTATATTCCCCCTTCATGATGTTGATACAAATAAAAAGTGGATAAGAGATTGGAGCTCTAAGACTTTCCTCTCTGATGACGACTTGGATCAAATCCGGAACAAGTTTGGAGAAAGTGTATGTACCAGCGAGTGGTTGTCTTTTTGGCCTAGCTAACATAGATGGCAGGTTGGATTTTACTTCGCATTCCTGCAGTCGTACTTCCGATTTTTGATTTTCCCGGCTATCTTTGGATTCTCCTGCTGGTTCCTGATTGGCGGATATTCGATTGTCTACACTATCGTCAATTGTCTCTGGTGTATCATCTTTGTGGAATATTGGAAGCGCCAGGAGGTTGATTTGAGCTGCAGATGGCAGACCAAGAATGTCTCAGCTGTTCGGACCAAGCGACGAGAGTTCAAGGCAGAAAAGGAGGTCTGTGATGTGGGTACCGGTGAGATGCGCGGTGTCTTCCCGGCAACTAAGCGCATGCAACGGCAGCTACTTCAAATCCCATTTGCCTTTGTTGCGGCAATTGCCTTGGGTGCTATCATTGCGACCTGCTTTGCCATTGAGATCTTCATCTCGGAGCTCTACAATGGTCCTTTAAAGACATACTTGGTATGGCGATCCTTCCCATTCTCTGTAATCAAAGCTAACCCTTCAGATTTTCATCCCAACCATCCTTGTATCAGCGCTTGTGCCAACCATGAGTGCTATTTTGACGTCTATCGCAACGAAGTTGAATGACTACGAGAACCACGAGACAAACGATGCGTACGATGCTGCATTGACTCAGAAGGTTTTTGTTATCAACTTCATCACGTCTTATATGCCAATTTTCTTGACAGCCTTTGTCTACGTGCCATTCGCTAGCCTGATTGTCCCCTACCTCGATGTTTTCCGCTTGACAGTTCGGCCTTTCGTGTCGAAGGAACAAGCCATCTCAAAGCAATCGCATTTCCAGATCGACCCAGCTCGCCTGCGAAACCAGGTTGTTTATTTCACTGTCACTGCCCAGATCGTTGGCTTTGCCATGGAGACTATCGTGCCCTATATCAAACAGCATGCACTTCGGAAATATAAAAAGTACAACAAGGAGCGCAATGGTAAGACGGACCGAAACGGCGACAAAGGATCGCCCGAAAGGCCTGTCGTGTCCTTCGACGATCCGGCCGAGGAAGTGCAGTTCCTCACGCGCGTGCGTAACGAGCTCGAACTTTCCGAGTACGATGTGACCGATGATCTACGTGAGATGTGTATTCAATTCGGTTACTTAGCCCTTTTCTCACCCACATGGCCGCTTGTTCCCCTCTCGTTCTTTGTGAACAACTGGGTCGAATTGCGATCGGACTTTTTCAAGATCTGCATGGAGTTCCGCAGACCCGTGCCATTGCGGACTGATACGATCGGACCCTGGCTCGATAGCCTGGGATTCCTATCCTGGGTCGGAAGTATCACCAGCGCTTCTCTGGTCTACCTGTTCAGCGGCAACGCACAGCAGGGGCCTAACGGCGAGCCGACAGACATTAAAGGCTGGGCTTTGCTTTTGACAATCTTTTTTTCGGAACACCTGTACCTTATTGTGCGGTATGCTGTACGGGCTGGTATGGCTGGGATTGAGCCTCCAAACTCCCGCAAGGAGCGAGCCGAGCGTTACCTCGTGCGCAAGCGCTATCTTGAGTCGACAACCAATGTTGGGGTGAGCGCGGACAAGGAGGAGGACGATCTTACGTCCATTGCCCAGTCAACTGATATCTCACGTACGTCTCTTGAAGATGATGCTCGGCGTGCGTCCTCGCATGGTGCCGACCCGGCAACCCGTTTCTGGATGCACCAGCGAGGCTGGACTGAGTCAGCGAAGATCGGAGCTGGGATAATACATGCACAGCCTACCAAAGGTAGCTTGAAGAAGCAACAGTAGTGATTCCGAGTCGTGCAGAGCTAGGATGTCGCGGCAGGGGTGTGAAAGGTTGACTGTGTTTTGGGGTGGATACGAGATTACGGGTGTTAGAAGTTTAGATAAGCACTCAAGGTACATTAATCAGGAGTAGTAGTTCAGTTTACATCTTATACAAGAAGTTGTTCCCAATTGAATGGAACGATTCTTCAATTGTTGGTGCCTCATGCATGAGAAACGAATGTCAAGATAGGCGAGGATGGTGATGTCATGCTGACTCGGTCGGGAGCAAGTAAACCCGCCGGATGCGGGCGGGATATAATCAGCGATCAAGCAAGCTATCTCGATACATGGACATGTTAAGATGCACGACCACAGCATTCGATTGGAGGGATATGAAGAGGATTGAGATGATGATTAAACCCCATCACAGCCAGTAAATGTGATATCCAAGGCAATGTAGCGGCAAAAAGCATGGAGATAAACCCCGGGGTAGAAACCGTATGGTTCACCGCTTACTCAATGTGGACAATTCGCTTACCAACTCCTTTCATAAATCGCCCCTAATCCTCTGACTCAGAATCCTTAAGTAATCCTCCTCCTCCTCCACCCGCCATCAACCTGCTTACAGCATCGGATCTGTAACTGCTTACCTCATTTTAACTGTATTTTGATATCAGCAAAGCAGCTCTCTTTGCTCTCAATTCTGGTGGATTCTAAGAGTGTCGTGCAAAGCCACTGCCCAAATTCATCACCGATCCCCTTTCTTCTTAATCAATGCAGCCTGCACTGGCGCCAGCACCGCATCCAAGCATGCAAACCTCTGCTCAGGTAAGCAGACCATCTTGAACGCGCGTTTGTCATCAGATCTAGATGAGATCCCACGTTGTGTACTTCCTCGATGCTTTGGATACAAGACAGTCATGCTGCGTTACCAACGTGTTGAGGACGGGACTCGACGTCTCGACGCGTGGAGTCTCCCTCCAGTCACGTCGCGTCATCTAGGTCCTGCATTCTGTTACTACTATGATTCATACTGACATTTGACTATAGGATCACGCGGATCAGGGTACGTGATTGTAGCTGTTGTCCTTTTTTTCCCTTTGCTTTTAAGGGATTCGTGGGTGCGTGGGGTTTGAGGCTGAAAACTACCGTACCCCAATCTCCTATCTAATCCCACCTGGGCAAATTAGGGTGCGCGTCGCACGTGATAGCTCCCCATCGCTAACATGATGATATAGTCCTCCATGACCAGCTTTTAGCTGCTCAGCATCACCTGGGCGGTCGCCCCCAGGGTGCCCCAGGCCAGCAACAGCACTTACAGCCCAATAATGCTAGCCCGCGAGACCAGCCAAACATTGACCCTGCTATCTCGGGTGCCATGCTCGGCGCTCCCCAAACCCCCACCCAACCCCAGGGTTCTCCCCCATCCGACGGCGGCTCCAAAAGCTATGGCAAGCGTGAACTGTCCACTTCCAAGCGTGCTGCCCAGAACCGTGCTGCCCAGGTATGTTAATTTGATACTCTGCACAACGTTCTTCGCTTATCATCCGGATAGCGTGCATTCCGCCAGCGCAAGGAAACATACATCCGCAAGCTCGAGGAAGAGGTCAAGAACATCGACCCCCTCAAGGAGCAGGTCAAGTCCCTGGTCGGCGAGAACTATCAGCTGCGCGAATACATCATCAACTTGCAATCGCGTCTTCTCGAAGCCCAGGGTGAAGTCCCCGAGCTCCCGGCCAACATCGATTTGAGCCAACCCCGCACAACAGAAATGGCGCTTGCCTCTGCCGGAGTCCAGAACTCCAGCCCCTCGGGCTCGGTACCCACCCCGGGTCCCCAGGGCCAGCACCCCAGTTCTGTATCTGATGACATGAATTCTCTGAACCGCATCGCTGCTGCAACCCTCGGCATGCGCAAGCACCCCGATGACACGACCTTCCTCAACAACAATAGCTTCCAGCAGAATAAGCGGGTACGCACGGATGATAATCAAGACGGAAACGATGGCGTGAACAAGCAAGAGGTTTCTCATGGTCTTCCGATGGTGAACTAATTGCTGTGCCGTTTTCATCAACGTTTTGATTGCCTACGTTCTGCGATCACTTTTCGATACCCGCGTCTGTCTCCTTTGTTTGCTCGTGCCTTATTCAGCTTCGGTGTTACGTTATGCTTGACGACACTTGCCCTATTTCTATCTCGCCTGTTCTGCTGGATCTCCTGTGCTCACCTCCTTTACTATCATGTCATGTTCCCCCTTTGCGTAAGGGTGTGTGATGCAGTGAGTGATTTCCACCCTCTTGATTTCGGCTTCGCGATTCGGTGGTGTTTTGAGATTTCCTAAATTGCGGTAGATTGATGGGGGGAGTTTATTACTATTCCCGCATTTGTTTCATACTTCAATTCGATCTATAACTTTACTTGTTCAATCAGATAGATCACAGGCTGTGGATATGCACTGCCTAGCCAACTTTCGCTGCCTAGTGTAGGTTCCTATGCCACTGATTTTATGAGGCCTTCATGATGTCCGAGCCTGGAGCCAAGCTTGCCGAGTTAATTTTAGTCTTTGAGACTTATGAGGTGCTCCGTGCTAGCCTAGCGGGTTTGAGCGGGGTGGACTCCAAATTATCCTTGTATTCTTCAGGCTTTTCAAGTCTTGCCCAAAATGGGCTCATCGAAATGAAGCTACTTGATACAGTCTTTTGAAACCAAGCTGTCGGACTTCCTATCTACATATTATCTCTCTACACACGTCCGATCTACTGACATGACTGGATTGAGACCTCAAGAGACAGGTGTGGACTTGGACTGATATGCTGTCAAAGGCTGATTGTAACAAATAATGACAGGACTCCTTCGTAGGGTAGCTACCCTAGGACGAGCAACCGATCTGGTGTTGAAGCTGCCTTTCAATCGACCTTGATACCAAGTGTGACTTGAAATCAAAATAAACAGATGGAAGCCGGAGATTGGTGACAAACTTGGAAACCGATGCAAAGATCAATCTTATGATTTAGTCTGGCAAAAATTTACACGCTAAAGGAAGATGATTGATTCACTTTGACGATTCAAGTAGGTGGGCTTGCCCTTGACCACCTGTGTCTGGTTATACCTGGTATCTACCTGTAGGTTGCCTTGATCGATTGCATGGTCATCGCGGTCGTCCTCTCGAGGTCCCATGAGAAGTTTCCAACATTCTTAGCATGGTTGGCTTGGGAATTGTGAGCCCTAAAATCTGGAGTCTGTGAACATCTCACACTGCTGACTTTCGCCATGAGTTTTGGTTGGATTGGTGATCCCACCGTAACCAGCAGCCTCGACACCCAGAACTATACTTTCTTGCCACACACAAGATAGATTAAATACCCTCTACCATCTAAACGTTTTTTTTTCGTCTAAAATCATGAAATCAAAGGAATCTTCAAGTCCCAAAGGCAAAGTCGGGTCACTTCGGTGAAGTTGCACACTTGTTAAATGGAATGAGATAGACAGACATGGCGTCCATGCACAACACCAAAATAAAAAAAAACGTTGATGTCATGGTGAAAATAAAGTCGAGTCAGTCGCAGGCAATATGTAGTCCCTACGCTCTTTTATTGCGCAATTTCTGACCTGTCAAACCCAATAGATTGGATACGACATTTACTGTGCATCAAGACCATATTCCTTGATAAGAACCTCAGCACAAGTAACACCAGTCACGTAAGCCGTAGCCTGCGTGTGGTTATTAATGAGAATGGGAATAACACTCATATCAGCAACACGGAGGTTCTCAATGCCCCGCACGCGGAAATACGTGTCAACAGCAGCATCACTGGCATCAGCCTTGCCCATCTTCGCTGTGCCGGTCATGTGCCAACTAGAAGAGAGGAAGTTCTTCCAGAACCGGAGAATGTCCTCACCAAAATCAGACGCGGGCCCGATGAGCGTAGAGATAGTGTCCGTCGCAAAGGACTCCTGTCTACTAACTTCTAGTAGGTGTCGGTAGATCTCGATGCAGGCGCGACGATCGAAGGGATCCTCGAGGAACCGCGGGTTGAAAAGCAGCGGGACGTCTGGGTCGGAGGACTGCAGGCGCACTTCACCGCGGGATTGTTCGTTCATCATGAATGCCCCGAGACCCAAATAGCTGTACTCTTTGAACATATCGGGCATCATGAAGTGGATGGGCACGTGAGTGATCATCTCGTAGTGGGGGATGGTTTCGCGGTTCATGAATTCTTGTACGGATGCTGGAAGTGCTTTGAATTCGGGCGTCGAGGTAATACGGTCTGACTTGAACCAGCCACTTCCAACCTGGCAGCTGTATCTGGTCCATGGACCGGTGTTGTTCTCCTCCCACTGTCTCATCGCAGCCTCCATGGCGGCTGGATCCTAGAAGAACGAATTGCGGTCATTGGTATCGGGTTGCGGGTAAGAACCAGAGGAACAAAGTAGTGGTCTCGAAGACCCTGGCCAACAGCAGGGAGATCTTGGACTACTGGAATCTTGAACTTCTCAAGGTCTGCAGCTGGTCCGATTCCAGAATGCATTAGGATCTTGGGGGTGTCGAGTGAGCCTGTAGAGAGAATCACATCCCGAGAAGCGAAGTCTGGCAGCCACGTCAGATGAAGGGAATGGTAAAGATTCATGATCGGACATGCACTGCTTGCCCTGGGTCTCTACTCCAAGGGCCTTTTTGCCCTGCAGCAAAATGCGTTGTACTGGGCTGTCCGTGACAACCACAAGATTCTCAGACGCACTCAAAAGCAGGTCAACAGCCGTAGTACGCTTTCCCTTGTGAGCAGAGTTGATAGTGGCAGCCATGCCGAGGGGATTTCCAGAGTTGTGATCCAGGTTGAGCTTGTGTCCAGCCGCTTGAAAAGCATCCAGCGAGAGCGATAAGTCCTTTTCTCAATCCTCTGCGTACCCAACGCGCAGGACTCCCGAGTAGCCATGTTCGAGAGCAACCGGATTAGCACATTTTTTGATTATCTCACGGTGTGACACGGCCATTGAAGGTCTCCAAATTCTTGAACCGGGTCTGCATCTCCTTCCACCCGAAGGTATCATCACCCACACTACGTGCCCACTCGTTGTAGTCGTCCCGCGCACCTACGGTATAGACCCCGAAGTTTAATACCGAGCCACCTCCCAGGCCCTTTCCACGGGAATAGTCTATCTCACGCCCATTGCAATGTTCCTGAGGCGTGGTCTTGTACCCCCAATTCAGGCCTTCATCCATAAATGTCGTCCAACGCTTTCCATCTACTCGCAAAACTCTATCATCGTTGCGCCCACCTGCTTCGAGAAGTAGAACTTGAGGTCTTTGGGCTGATTTGGCGAGCCCGGCAGCTAACGCACAACCAGCGGGACCACCTGTTTAAGTGATGAGCTTGGGAGATTGCATGTGTCTGGTACATGATTACCTCCTACAATGACAAAGTCATAAGCGCATTTTGGGGATTCCATGTTGATCACCACCTTTTAGCGTGAAGAGTAAATTGTGAAAAAAAAAATTTGGAAGAGGATAGGAGCAACGCGTCAAGTATGTATCATCTTTTCTATTTCAACACCGTAAAATAACTAATATCTAAAGGTTATTAAAGATAAGATAAAGGCATTAAGTATATATATTAGTACTACCTTATTTTACTTATAAATTTTTGTTGAACGAAATACAGCGTACTTTCCACTAGACCATAACAAAAACCAAGGTTCCTGTTTATGGCCTAGGGAGGCCGTATTTGAGGTTTGACAATTTTATTAAAATAAGGTCGGAGATCACGTGCCGTGATCTTCCTCTTACTAAGCATCACGGTTCGCACCGTGACATAGATCCTGTTGTGGCTCTTCGAGCTACGTCTTGTATAATAGCCTGCTCCTGCCTGTACCTGTCAAGTGGAATCTGATCTTGTTAGAGATACTAGAGATCTACGATGAATGTAGATGTAACTGGAAATCTCTTGATGCGTTGAGAGAGAGAGAAACTATCTACATGCTATGACTGAGACTAAGTACTGGGAGCAAACAGTGGTGGTCACGCGACCTTCCAACAGATCTGTTATGACCTGTTCCTACCAGTCATCTCCTATCATACCGTCCTGCCAGCCCGCACCCTGACATTTAGTATTGGTCAATTTATAAGAGTTAGCGCGAGAAATCGCGCCTGTGTTGTATACTATTTAGGCGGGTAGATCTTAAGGACGTTAAAACGGCGCGCCACTTCACAAGTTGAAGAGATTTCTTGATTCTTAAAAGCCTAGATAGCTAGTAAGATCCTACCCTCCTACTCTATTGAATTTTGAGAGGATTGAGTACGAATTGGTGGCATGGTGGGTGGTTGAACTAACTAAGATCTAGTGGACGTGTTTTAGTTGGGGTGGCCAGCTCGGTAGTGAAATACGTTATGTAGGGTTATTACATAACCTGCCAAGCCCTCGCTTGCAACAACATGAAACCCCCTTTTTCTGTGGCTTACAAAGCCAGGTGGCTGTAATTCCTGAGGCCGAGTTCTTGGCCCAAGCGCTCTTGACTCGCTGCCTCAGGCAGTAGGTGTATGCAAACCCTGCAAACATCTCGGGAGCACAACAGAGACAAAGCATGATCACGTGACCATAGGCGAAAGCGAACGCACGGTTCCCAAAGTTTTGGGTCTGGATTCTCCGCAAGTGAACTGGCCAATTGTAAATGAGAACCCATTCTCCACTCAGGGCGGAGGTTAGCGTGATAACTTGAAGATTCACCTTTGAGACATCTTCTTGTTTTGTTCAAGGCGGAAGTAAGATGTATTTGGGAAGATGTACGGAAACAGTAGACCGATTAACTGTTACCACGTCGGCCACTCTAGCCACCCTGGCCACTCGAGCCACTCCCACTCGAGCCACCTTGACGACTCGGCCAACTTAAAAAAGTTGAAATCGTACTACACAAGAAGAGACCAAAGTCGAAATCTGAAATCGGGAAAGATACTCCGATAAAATTCCGATTTTTTCAGTCGTAAAATTGGAAAAAAAAAGTGCCAAGTTCACGTGTGGCGGTTCCAACGGGTTCCCTTTCTCGGCTTAGCTTGGCATGGGGGCAAAGAGGCCGGGGAGAGCCCTGGAGTTTTCTTTTCTCGACTCAAACTATTCTCATCTTGCATTGACGTTCATTTCGCCTCGATCCCTGCCTCGAGTTTTTTGACCTCATCTCCTCAGAACCCGGAACGTTACATCCCCATTCCTCGGCAAACGAACTTGCGATCAGATCTTCCCATCCCAATCCTCGAAATCCTTCCCATTTGGTCCGATTGGCGAGCCCAAAATCTCGATAATCTTCGATTCAGCATAGACACAATTGGCATCAATGATTGGCTGGGACTAGCATAACTATCATGGCTACGGAGCTGGTACAATTCAAGCAAAGTGTATCGGGGTTCTCACTAAGCGAGGCATGAAAGATCCTCCCTTCGGTCTTTACAATATCAACATTGAATACATCTCCTAGCCAGGCTAGTTGAGTCGAGCACTATGACAAACCTATCACAAGTTCCCGACGGGATGCATGGGTACCATGACCATAATGTGGCAGTGCGGACGTTGATGATTGTCTTCACATCCATCGCATTATACAACGCCATCGAATTGTTAATCTTATTATTTTTGACTTTCACTCATTATCGTGGACTCTACTTTTGGACGCTTCTGCTCTCGGTCATCATCGGAGTAGTTCCTCACGCCGTTGGCTACCTGCTGGGCTTCTTTTCTCTAGCGCCATTATGGTTATATTTGACTCTCTCCACCATTGGCTTCTACGTCATGGTCCCGGGCCAATCCTTGGTCCTATACTCTCGTCTGCATTTGGTGGTCAATAACAACAAAGTCCTTCGGTTTGTTCTTTGGTTGATTGTCATCGACGCGATCGTTCTCTTGCTGCCAACGACCGTGTTGACGTTCTGTACCGCATACGTTGCACATCCGTCAATGATTCGTGGATACAATGTTATGGAGCGGATGCAACTGGCCTGGTTTTGTGCGCAAGAGATGGTCATTTCGGGAATTTATATTGTCGAGACCGTGAAGCTGCTGAGGATGATGCCTGACAAGGACCGACGGCGGTCCAGAATCATGTACGAGCTGCTAGCCATCAATTTTGTCATCATTTTGCTGGATCTTTGCTTACTCCTTGTGGAATACGTTGGCCTGTACTCGCTGCAAACCACATTGAAGGCTATGGTCTATAGTATCAAGTTGAAGCTGGAGTTCGGGGTGCTCGGAAAGCTAGTTGATCTTGTGCAAAGTCATCGATCGCAACCCACTTCGCTAGAACACGAAGAATACCCTGGCTTCGTTGATCCGTCCCAGATTACATCGGACATCACCCACGCAGCCCCACGGGAACCACGACAAGGGGGACGGAGAGGGTGGAATACATTGTCGATGGAGAGCTTGCCCAGCTCTGAGCGCAGAATTCGCCTGTCTCCACGGTCGACGGACGATAGGCTGCATCCATCTTGAAGTCGGACCGCTGATAATGAACCTCTCTAGCATGTCGACCAAAGGTCTTAAAAATCATCCGTCGCGGGCACAGCCAAGCGGGCTTCGATTGTTTACTCTCCCAACCGGCTTTCTGCTCTTCTCAGGCGATGGAGATTTTTAAGAGCAAAGTATGCCGTTTTACATCCTGCTTCGTCTGCTCTTCCTCTGAAAATCGCCTCAAAAAGTCTTCAAAAAAAAAACACAAATCGAAATCCCGGTCACTGGAAACCAATATCCTGGTTTCCTTTCGCTCGCTCATGGAAACATCTGCGCAACTCTTTCGGTGCGTCAACAATCTGACGCCCGTCGAATTCTACACCCCAGCGCGAGATTCGAACGGCCTTGCTGTCAATTCCTGCCGACTGTACAAATTGCCATGTGCAACCAAATCACCCTGTAAAATTCCGCCAGTCCCACCAAGGGACTGCGTTGTTAGTATGTGCCAAATTACATTGGCCATCATAATGTAATGTTGTCTATCGACGTCCACGATTTGTTGATTTTCAGCCGCATGATGTAACTACTCCAACGACAAATATTTACGTCGCTATGACATACCTCTAGACACAAAAATGGATTGGAAAAGATTTAGATCTAAAATTGTTGTCTCTCATCGTCGATGCAGCATGGAAAGCACCGTCTCGATCCACCATGGTCCTTACGAGTCCATTCCAGCAACAGCATCACCAGGTCTTAAATTCCTTCACCGATTCCTACCAGCACTAGACTCCCTCACTCCCGTTGAAAATCCCATTATCCCTTTCTTCACACCCAGCGCTCCCATTCTCATCGGGAGCGATCCACCAACCGCCGCAAACCAAGCAGTCCCGCTCCTCGAAGTGCGCAGTCGTCACATCTGCAAATTTCACCATCATGTGCATCTCGCCTGGGACATAGACCTTGGGAGGGACATAGGCCCCGTCCAGACATCATACAACAGGACCGCTCCCAACGAAGAAGCCGCACAAAAGGGACAGCTTTACGCCCCGCTAGCAGGGAACATTCAAATGAAACGTACGGTTATGTTTGAAGCAACATCCGAAACAACATTCAAAGAGGACCCGGACGAGTTTGCAGTCCGAGTCCGCGAGTTCAACGTCCTCGATCTGGAAGGACGTGATGAGTCGGATCTGCAGATCGTTGAAATGCGCGTCTTTTTGGATCAGAGACCTCTCCAGGCCCATTCTGCAAGTCTGTTTACGGGATCTGGTTATTCCGGATCTTAGTCGGCATTGGAGTGTTGAATAATCAAATGAACCTGGTGGAGGACGTGCGTTTCTTCTCCACTGCGGAATTCTCGAAATAACCTCCCCCCACTTGGGAAGTGTTATGGATCTCTTATCTTCGCGCGGAGATGACGTTCGGCACTCGGTTCCTATTCTTGGGCTGTTTTGCCTTGCCCGTTTATCTTTAAAGGCTCCATTGCCCAATGCCAGCATTGGTGAACAACTTGGATTTTTTTTTTGTTGACGATTCAACAAGATGTTGCCAGTACAGGGACAAGCAGAGACCATCTACAATGTCTCAAGGGTCTTGAATCAGTATGAATTCAAGCTCAATGAGATCAATCAGAAGGTGGCCAGTACCTTTGGCAAACACATCATGACTTTCTTAACGTTCGCTAGATCTGGTCCAATCCCGAGCTAGCATTTACGGAGCACAACGCCCACGACAATATCTGCGAACTTTTCGAGTCACTCGGCGCTGGATACTAGGTGAATAGAAATGTTTATGGCGTCGAGACAGCGCTCGAGGTGATCTATCGCCGCGGCGAGGGTGGTCGTACCATGGCTTTCAATGCAGAATACGATGCCCTTCCAGGCATGGGACACGCATGTGGCCACAATGTGATCGCTACAAGTTCGATCGCGGCATTCCTGGCTACCTGAGAAGTAATGGGTACTCTGTACTCGGATGACATTGGATATTCTGTTCGGCTGCTGGGAACTCCTGCCGAGGAGGGTGGCGATGGAAAGCTCCTTCTTATCAACGCGGGCGCATACAAAGATGTGGATGCATGCTTCATGGTCCATCCCTTCCCGGTGTTGTCTGGCGCCCCTCATCTTATTAGCTCAAGTTCCTGCACTGTGATGTATCTCGCAAACGACACGGTCTGCACGTAGGAGAGCCTTCTGCGAGACAGGTTGTATGGTTCGTCTGAGCGGATGACCGTTGGGGTTGAGTTGCAGGATGAGCTGTCGAACAAGATTGATTGCGAGATGAAGAGTTTCCGATGTTTTATTTAGATGGGAAGTTGAGGCCAAATTAATGCCATGGTATTCTAGCGAGTTGAAGAAGATTAATTTGGCCATTTTCAAGTCACAATCGAGGGGTAGGGTCGTCATCTCTCTTGGCTTTCTAAAACACGGTTAACATGTCGCAGATCTACAACATTCACCTAGTTCTTCAGCGAGCATTTGAGCAGAGGCTTGCAGTTCCTCTTCAACTGAGCTCGTCAGAATTTACCAAAGAGATTCACGGTCCCCATCCGGTTGTCCATAGCACACAATGTGGCTTATTGGCCACTTGGCAGGGGGCTTTTGATGCGAGTGGGTCTTCCTTCTTCGGTAAATAGTCTCGGTCAATCCCACGTGCTGCATCAGTGATTATTATGTGCTCCCGAGAGGATTGCAGGGTTGCATACTCTCGGCGCCTGAGGCCGCTACTCAGCGGCGCTCGGACCAAGCAGTTGGTCACAGGAAAAAGGGGTTTCATGTTGGATAAGCGAGGGCTTGGCATGTTATGTAATAACTCTACATTATAACTGGTGTTTAGCACTATCCAATAGAAACCATGCGATCCTTACAGAATCTCAATTAAAGGACCTACTGTCTGGACTGACAACCCCAGTAGCTCAAGCTGAAACTGCTTATAAGCCTGACGAGTAGGATATTGGCGGAAGGGTCTCGTCTCACTAAAGAATTCGACAGTTCAAGAACGAAGACAACCATCGCTGTCTGTTTAGCCATTTCACTATCAACTCTGGCTATTTTCTCTCGCACTTCATTGTTCTGATTTATGATTCGCTCCGTGTACCCATTTTCTGAAGGGGACTGACATCATTACCCCCCCCCCCTATCGGACGTTCAGGAGGTGGTCGTAGCTTTGATGAATGTGATGAGACGAGTCTCTTTGTTATGTCTGCAGACGCAGGCCAAAATGTTCCTTGTACATGAGCAGGGTCTTTGGCGTTTCTTGAAGTCGCTTGGAAAAATATACAGATGTTCTATATCCATGCGATTCTTTTGTTGCCCTATAACTACACTTTGCTCGCCTCTATATTTCAAGGTCATTCGAAGAGACAAAAGATGAACGGAAGGCAGAAATTCACTCGATGTGTTGGATGATTGCGTACAACTATCTCAAAACACAGAAAGTAATTTTAACTAACATATGTAATAATAATAAGTATGTCTATAGCGACAAGGGTATAAAGCAAAAACTGTGGCCGCCCAGTGATGATTCCACTGTTATCCAGTCGAATATCTTGTAGTTTGTAAGATCATGCACGCAAAAGAATGTTCCTCACAAGCTACCAATACCTGCTCTTACTTCGGGCGCTCGAGAAATGTCATTTCAACCGTAGACTGCGAATCCGACGAAAGCATTCGATACCGACTACATTCCTGTGACTCAAAAGAGTTCACAGTCGACGTAGCCTGGCGCAGTGCCTCGTGAAAATCGTACGTACAGCTGCGCGCGGAATACGGTGCCAGACTCACAGACTCTGCAACAATGGCACTATTTCGCGCCTCGGTCTCTGGTGACGCGGGATTGTTTGCGAGCATGTCGAAGATATTGATTTCGGTTGCGCTACAGGTGGTGCCACTAATCCCCTGACAAACGGAGCATGCATAAGTGCTTGTCAGCTCGCGGAGCTGCGTGAGGGCGTGAAATTCAAGTTTCAGCTTGATACTGTAGACAACTGTCCTGAAGCTGATGACCAAGTAGTGCAATCTGTACTCGGCGATGATGATGAAGATACTGAGCGAGATGCCGATGAGATTAACGAAGATGATTCGGTGGATAATTCGTCGTCCTTGGGGGCCTTTGGATTCGAAGACGGGCTTGAGCGCTCGGAGTGCTTCACGGACGTAGATGGCACACAGCAGTACGTCTTGGATGGTGAATCCGGTTGCCTGGAAACGGTCGTAGATTTCTGGTGCGTGGCCAAGCGGTATCTTGTGAAGGTTGAGAAAGAATAAAACGGTCATTGGGATGTGGAGAACGACAGCATTGGCTGTGATCAACCATCGTACCCATCTTACTTGGCGGATGTCGGTAACAACGAGATGCAGCCTTGAATACAGCACTACCGCTTGTCCTGTTACCATGCAGATCCAGCCCACAACAAATGGGACTGCCACGGCAAAGGAAGAGGTTCTGTTCGTATAGCGAATTGTGGCCGGTATACCGTGTACCAAGATTCCCCAGGCGGCAATTTGCATGCTCCAGAAGTATAGCCCCCGATACTTTTGGAACTTCTCGAAGATGGCAATTACAACTTCCAGTGCGTTCCATGCGGAGATGGAGAACATAGCCACGACCTGGACAACCATCATGTTGGCATTGAAAATGGCGCTCACCTCCGGAGGGAGGTTACTTATCGGGGTATCCATGGCGTGTAAATGGGTTGAGCCATTGGGATAAGTCAACCGATGGGAAAGGAAAAGGATATATTGATCACCGATCGGATACAGGTCCCACCTGGCTGACTGATACTATGATGATGGAGACTCCGCTTTAAGGGCCTCATCTTCGGCCCCGGGGTGGGACGGGATAAGGTTGACTGTTGGTTTCGAGTGTGGATCAGGCCACTGACGAGTCATACCTCGTCGCATAAATGAGAGAAAATTCGGCAAATGTGGTCCATGGTGCAGCACACGGGGATCTGTGGCAGATGCTCCGGTTCATTATACATTTCATCATCGCGTAGGGATTCCAACTTGGCTATTGGTGACAAAGACCTCTGGGAATATGAGAATTCCGGTTTCCTCTCCCCTTTAATCATGTTGCTTGAAGAGATAATTGGACACGGCCAACGAAAGGTCGAATATCAAGAGGCTATCAGCACGCTAAACAGGGGTCCTCGGAATCTCAAACAAAGAAACCCAGGCAAAAATTCGTGCACTGATCACATTTTTCGTTAGCACTCCTTAATGGGAGTCCAGGCCTTACATAGATTCAGGTCGTAAATCATGATTGAGCTGAAGATATATGGAGTCTGGAGTAGAGGATTCAGGGAATGGAATGAACGTTGCTGTTGAGGCTTGGCATCGGAACGGACATGGGTTGGCAACAGAGATCGATGGTTTCACCACTGGATGGAAATACCCATTAAATAGAGCATGAAAAATACTTCGAGTTCTCTCACTAAAATGACAAAATCCGCTCTTTTTCCAATCGATGCGGACAACGCTGACTTAACAAAATATACAATGTGTGTGGGCCACCCCATCGTGGTGGTCCGTTCTGTTCTCACCCACGCATTGTGCCATTTCGACAGATGGGTCAAAGCGTACTTTGCCCATCTAAGGTCTACTCCAGGACGAAAGACTCCGTACAATACAAGGAAAAGGGTTAGATTGAGCGCTTCGATAGAAATCTCCATCTCTGTGGATGGTGACATCAAGGGGAACGGAGTCAATCGAGTTTACCTAAAAGCTCAAGCGCCCAAGGCTGTCATGCGATGGTAGGAGGAGTACATGTGTAAATAGATTGGATTCTGCTGGGCCATGGACCCCTAAATGGACATGTCATATTTAAATTTCGGGGTTGGTCACATCTCATCTCCTGATTTTTCTGACGCACATTGAATGTCTGGCCGATTAACGCGATCGTCGTCCAGCTCCGGATAATCAGGGAATTTCCAGTCTCCACCCCGATCATCGGAAAATCGTGCTATGAGCTGTGGTATGCGAAGAAAGCAAACCACTGTGAGAATCAGATGAACAAGAGAGGTCGCCCACTGCGAGTCCGGGAGAACCCATCGGATCCACCCAACGTCGAACTGCTGAACCTCGTCGATGAACGGTCGCAGAATCTGGGAGTAATTTTGGAACGCTTGAGACAGATCTTTACTGCGAGCAAGCTCTCCAGCCAGAACATATGCTCCAACTAGACTGGTGCTTGTTCCCATACCACTTATGGGAGAAGGGCAGTGCGCTGCATCACCGAGAAGGACGACCCGACCGGAGTGCCAGGTATTTGTCCTGATTTGAACGACATTCTGACAGAACCAGTTCTCTGTAGTCTCCATCCCCTTGATAAAGCGATCGGCCTGCCACCCGGCATCGCGGAATTTTTCGGCCCAAAAAAGCTTTTGCTGCCCTACTGAACCTTTTGGAACCTCCCGTAATTCCTCGGAGTCTGATCTAAGCGTGAAGTAGACCTGGGTTTCCGTTTTGTTATGGCTTCTAGACAGGATCGATCGACCGCCGGGGCTGATATATGACTTGCACATATTGTTGTCGCCTTCAGCCCATGGGACGAACCAGTATGCCATGTGTACCCCGAGCTGGTGATATACATCCGGCTCACCAGGAGGTAGAATGTTCCTCCGAATGTGCGAGCCCTGCCCATCTGCTCCAACAAGAACGTCGAATGTGTCAGAAGAGCCGTCAGAAAAGTACGCGAGTACCCCTTGTTCACTTTCCGTGAAGCTCTCCACCGTTCTGTCAAAGAGATATTTCACTGTATCTTTTGTTGCTTCGTAGAATATGCGCACAAGATCCCCACGCATGATCTCATATTCGGATGTCAGAGATTGTGCACCCTTGCCAGACTTATTAGCGAGAATCGTCGCCTTAACATTGCCCTTGGCGTCAACAAAGGAGACGCCTGCTTCGTCAACGAGCTTTCTGCGAACCGCGTCGATGAGGCCCATTCGTTTGATAGCCTCAATGCCTTGGCCACGGAGATCAATTTGGGCACCTGTTGCTCTCAGAGCCGGGAATCGTTCGACGATGACAACTTGATGACCCAGTCGGGCGAGCCAGTAGGCCAGGGCCGGACCTGCAACGCCTCCACCACAAATGAGAACTTTCAACGTCATTGCGTAGAGATAATCTGGAAAAGAATTGGAAGAGAATTGGAAGGGGAAACCACTACTTTGTGGAACATTTTGTAGTCCAGACTTGAATTTATGTAACAAGCCGATACAACCACGTTTGCACTCGCACATATCGGACACATCGGACATGGCTCTCACGGAGTTTCCTGGTTTGTGCATGCAGGTCAGCACATCTGATTCAGCAGTACTGAATCAGATACCTCTTATTAGTGGAGTAAGTTCGGACTTACACTCTCACCCCGTATACGAAGAAATGTGTCACCAGTGCGATTGGCTATTACCGCCATCAAAATGTCACCACGGTCCCCCTTCATTCTGTTTATAGATTGTAAAATTGGGCCTTAACTTCAAAAGAAAAAGAGAAATTCTGGTGTACATGCACATATGCATAATTGCTGGTCTATACGATGATGATGGTGTATTCATTGACCCGATCTAGCTCGCTATTACTCCGTACATGCTGCTATGCGGGGGTTGCGTCCCAGAGCCCCCTCCCGACGACCAATGGTGGCGTATTCCCAGTATGCAAATCCACTCTACAAATCAGATAAAATAATCTCAATATAACAAAAGTAGCTATCTACCTAATGCAGATAATTTCCCGCAGTCCCCACGGGCGTAGAGTGTCCCCTCGCTCTACAACACACCTCTTACCCCTTTATTTCTTATTCTTTTCCAAGCTCCCTGAGTCACCGAGTCCCTATCTTACTAGGACTACTAGATCTATTTTACTACTTCACTCCGGTAAGTCGTACATGAATAGGTTCGGGTCCCGACGCTGTACTTCGTTGTTTTTGTCAGCAGCGCACGTCGTTCTCTACGTTCGTATAAGGTGACCTTTGCGGCCCTAGCGCCCGATCGGTGGTGCTACCTTCGATTCCTTTAAAATCTCCTCCTCCCAAAGTATCGTTAATACCCTAGCTTCGAATAATTCTACCATTATTTCCGTTCGCTATTCCTCTAGGAGTGGACACTAAAGTAGGACGTATCGTACACTTTAGTCTCTGTCAGGGTGCGGGCTGGCAGGACGGTATGATGGGAGATGACTGGCAGGGACAGGTCGTAACAGATCAGT